TATCATCCTTCTTGGCTTCGGTGGTCTTGCGAGCTGCCTCATCAGCCAGACGCTGCTTCTGAGCAGCCTCGTCCTGCTGAATCTTCAGGCGAACGGCATCCTTCAGCTCCTGTTTCTTCTCCTCGTCGGTCTTCGTGGCATTCGGCTTGCTCTCGGTACGAGTGTGCTCAGACGCGCTGGCAGTGCGAGGGGGAGGAGTGGATGTGGGAGGAGGAGTGAACTTGACGGGCGAAGGAGTGGCACGAGCAGGGGATGCGGGGTTCTTTTCGAAGGTCTTGACTGAGCCGCTGTTAGGGTCCTTGATGATGATTGGGCTCTTCTTAGCTGAGGGGATGATGAAGTGAGGCTTGGGAGCGGGGCTGTTGGATGCGCGGCTGCCAGTGTGGGTGTGGCCTGCGACAGCAGGACCAGTGGGTGCCGGTCCTTGGCCGACGCTCGAACCTGGACGATCAGTAGATACCTGGGAGGGAGTACGTGAAAGTGGGGTCGCCTGAGGCATGGGGTTAGGGAATTGCTGTCCCATGTACTGAGGGTTGTAGGGCATGCCAGCAGCACGAGGTTGGGGAGACGGCGGGCCCATGTAGTAACCACCATTCGGGTTGTAGTAACCAGCGTAGTTGGGATCGTAGGCGTTGGGGAATGACTGTTGAAATTTAACCATTGTTAGAATCTGTTCGAACTGGCCACTTTCAGGCGCAAGATCCACGGGGCACTCGGGTGAGTATGCAGGTTTGTCTTTGCGCCTCCAAGAGCTGGTAAGGTTTCTTTGGGGACGACGCCAGGGATCCTGGGAAGTACGAGAAGGGGGGGATCTCACAGCTTGAGGGCCCATGTGCTGACCGTAACCGTAAGGTTGCTGAGGCATCTGGGGGTGTGCCATCGGAACCTGGTTCATTTGAGGAGTGGTAGGGTTAACGTTGGCCAGGGCAGGGCTGCGGTTGGCTTGGTGAGGCGAGTTCGGGTAGGGCGCCAAAGGACGGCCCTGGTTTGAGCCGTGAAACTGGGGACCCATGTTAGGACCGCCTCGCGGCTGGTTGGGAGTCTGACGGAAACCGGGGTTAGGAGAGTATGGCATCTGCTGTCCCTGGTAGCCGGTCTGGGAGTAACCGCGACCGCGACCACCCTGGTAGCTGGAACGTCCGGGGCCGTTGCCCATGTGGTTGCTCATATCGCTGTGGGTAGATTGGGAGGACTCGCGACGCAAGTGCTGAGCACCGTGTGCGAGAGAAGCCTATGAAATCGAACACATCTATGTGAGCAAAAACAAGTACAAAAACGATGGGGACTTAGAAAAAGTCGCGCACAGGTGGTGCCACGCTTTATCCACATTTGCGCGCCCAAGATCACTCAAAAGGGAAGGAGTCGAGAAACTTACGTTGGCATCAGCAGATTCTCCGAAGCTACCGAAGTTCGGCACATTTCCTTGCGCCTGGTAAGTCGATGGGGGTGGGCGACCGCCGCTGGATGCGGGCTGAGGAATAGGCGAGGGAGAAGTCTGAGGAGAAGTCACCCGGGGGTTTGTCGAAGGGGCACCAAGTCCAGCCTGGGCCTGGTTAGAGGCCGGCACAGCGGGAGCACCCATGTTGGGAGAACTCTGCTGGAATCCGAACTGAAGACTGTTGGGCCGACTGGCCGGGCCACCGCCGTTGGGCATGTAGCCGGAGGTACCGCTCGATGTGATGGTCACAGAGGGCTTGCGAGAGTGATCGCCGGAGGAAGCAGCCGAAGCAGTGGGAGCTCCATTGACAATGGTCACGCCAGAAGAGGCCGACTGTTGAGATTGATTTTGCATGGGTTTGCCGTTCACAGATACGGAGCTCGACTGCCCATGTTGCGCTGAACCGCCCACGGTGGCGGGTGCGGCGGTAGAGTCCGTCGCGGACTTCTTAGTTGCGTTTGCGTAAGATCTGGCTGGCGCCTGGGTGGCAGCCAGGGGGGTAGAGGATGCGGGCTGGGTCGAAGCGGCGGGAGTAGCGGTGCTTTGTCCTTGGTTGCCCGACTGAGGAGGGTTCGAGCTCATTAGACAGGTTGTACGTCTAAACGCGCGAAGAGGGAGGAAATTTCGTGAAAAAAAGACGAAGGTGATGTCAGTACGCGGAGGCGTAACAAGGCCACATCCAAACCTAACTGCAGGTCGTTAAAAGGGATGAAACTTGATAAGAAAAAAAAGGAAAACGAGTTTCCGAAATACACAGAAGACCAGGTACGCAGCAAGAGCAGCGTTTTGGTCGACAGTGTGGATTTAAAAGGGTTGTTTCAAAGGGTAGAGGATGGTGGGAGGGAAAAAATTCAAGGTGAAAAAAAATATTCGGGTTTGTGGAAAACGAAAGTGCAGAACGAAAGAGAGTTGGGTTCCGGTGTCGACCAACGTACCTTTGAATGTGTTTTATGTGATGGATTCTCTTAAGAATCTCTAGAAACAATGAAATTAATGAAATTTCCGAAAGAGAAGTGAGAGTAAAATAGAAAAAGATCGAGAGGGACTATGTCTACAACGCCACCCACCTGTTACAAAGAATCTATGGAGTACAGTGTATAGTTACATAGTGAAGTATAGTATATATAAGCCTCAATGTACATAAAATGAGTGACCCATAGATATTACCAAACAATAACTATGACTCTACTATGCCTCTTGAGTCCTTTCTATTCATCTGGAACCTGACAGACCCTCCTTATGTCCCCAAATGCCCCATTTTACCCGTTTGCCACTATGATGACCCCATATCTACATCTACTACATCTACATCTATACAAGATACTTAGGTACTCGGGTATTTAAAAGTACACTATGTATACATGTCATAGATGGTTCCCCTTCTTATCTCCTAAATGCACCCCTGGCTCAATAACACTCAATAGTAGCCATCAAGGCACAGGGATATCAAATACTTCCCCATATCCCCCCCCCGTCCGTCCGTCCTTGCAGTGCATCTGCGTGAACTCTTTTATGCAAGGCTATTCCTCCGACCGGAGGGATTCGGCTTAACATCCTCGGTTGTTCTTAGTGATATTTCAGCTAATATTCAATTCAAATTCGAATAAACTGTTATCTAGCAAAGGAAAACCCCCATCCCATGGAAACATTGCATGTCTCCCATCCCCATCTCTCACCCAGCAAGAGCAAATTGTTCAAGTTCTATTTTGGTTTTCTTGTTCTACTCGATACACCCCTGTTAAAAGCGGAACATCTCCGCGGACAAACTCATGATCGATCGTGCCCGGCGGCGCGCGACCGGGCAATCTCATCGACAGCCCGCGCCGCAAATTCAGCACCAGATGAGGCAGAGGAATCTTGCTCGCTGTTGAACCAACCAGATTTCCATCCACTGCTAGTCTTTCGTTCCGAGCGACGACCTATATCCTCATCATCAACCACCTCAAACGAGTTCTCGCTGCGGTTCTTACGCAACGGCACGCCGTAGGCAAGATCATCAGCCTCAAGCCCACCTCGAGGGGTGCTCTGCTCCTCCTGTGCTAGAGTCGACCTGAGGTGATCTAGCAGCTCTCGCTGCGAGGAAATAAAGTGAGCCTTCTCGGCCCCAGACATAGACTGCATCTGGCGCTGGAGAAGATTGCCACTGGCCGAAAGTTCCTCGTCCCGCGCTTCCCGGGTCTTTCCAGATGTGACTGACCCCACGGCAGTGCTGAGAACAGAAAACCAATCATTTGTGTTGGCGGCCGCCCCGGGAGCTCCGGCAACGGGGATGTTGAACCGCGATAGTAGCGACTGCGCGTAGGAAGCGGCACCTGGCTGAGGGGGTGTCGTGGGGCGTTGCGGGGGGAGACCCAAGACTTTCTGCCGGATCAAATCGATGGCTTGGTAGAAGTATTGAAGACCCAGTGCCTTGGCCCGCTCATGGGTGTGGCCGATCATCTCTTCGATCTCCCGCTCATGGTGTGTCAAGAACGGGTCCACGTAGTCTTGGTACAGTAAGCGCGCCCCTTGCGTCTGAGGGAGGACAAGATAGGACATGAAACCGAGGCGGATCCAGCTATAGAATGGGAACCTGAACAATTATCGAGTCACAATTAGCTTAAGATCCTCTTAAAACGGAACAGGTTGAACTATACCATCCGATGATAAAGACTGTCCAGGACTCAGCCAACAGAATTACTGAAAGCACCACCCAGTACATCAGCCATGGTGCGAGTTGTGAGGGGTCAGAAGAACGAAGAGCTTTGTAAGAAGCGAAAACGGGGAAGAGGATCGTGATGACCGAGCTATAGAGATAGATCTGCGTTAGGTTGCGGATCTTTTCCCGGGGTATATGATGATTTGAACTTACGACAACAAGTCCGCAAAGATTCCAAACATGATGAAGCCTGGGTGAATTGAAGATGTGAAAAAAAGAAAATCCCTGGGGATTTTGTGTCTTCAGTCAGCCCCGCTGATCTGAGACGAACACCGAAGTTGAACAAAAAAAAAATAAAAAGAGGAGAACAAGGCAACAAAGATAGTTCAGGGGTATATATGATTTAAAAAAAGAAATCAAACAGTCGCAACTGTAAAAATAGAAATAGTACTCCGTACCCCGTACACCTAAATCATTTCACGATAGACTCCCTTATTCAAGAGAACTGCATTTCCCATTTGGGCAAAGAATCAATGTGTTGACGTCACGCGAGACCCTTTTTTTTTGTTTTGCATTGTTAATGATTCAGTCATGTGTTTGGAAGACAATGGATATCTCGGACATAGATCTCCATATATTTTAGATCTTGTTTTTAAGAATCATGTTATTATCTTAAATATGGTACTGGAGGCACAAGCCCGACAAGGCACATGTCGCTAACGAGTGGCCCAATCACCCGAGATGCCTTAACTAGTTCCTTTCGACATATGATGGCCCGTTCCTCTTTCTCTTCCAGCATTACATTTTCTTTAAAGTCCTTACTTCTACTCTATCTTATATACACCCTGCTGTTAAATCCGTGAATCCTGCATTGTTATTCCCCCGCACGTTCAACTACCCCGGTGGACCTCGGAAACCTAAATTATGTGTATCGCATTGATCTCAACTGCCCACCCGGAATACTCGTTGATCATAATCAACAACAGAGATGTAAGTATATTCTCACTCTAAGTGGTAAAATACCAAGCTTAACATATCTAGGAATTCCTCCACCGTCCCACATCATCCCCAGACTGGTGGCCGGAGCCAGCCTCACATGTCCTCGGCTCACGAGACCTAGCCCGATCTACACATGGCACTTGGATGGGGGTCACCAAGCATGGCAAGGTGGCAGTTCTAACCAACTACCGTGAGGATACGACCACCGCAGCTATCGGAATCTACAGCCGGGGCGTCATCGTCAACAGCTGGTTGATCGGGTCCACCGACAAGCGAGAAGATACCACGGAGTTTGTACAAGGCATCGTGGCAAGCCCAGAAGCAAAACAGGTGGGGGGGTTCAGTCTGGTGTGTGGACATATCAACGAGCCCTTGGCCATCGTCTCCAACCGTTCCACAGACATGGACCAGATCACCTGGGTGGCAACGGAGAAAAACCAGACGCGTGGGCTTAGCAACACAAGCTTTGATGACAGGACCTGGCCAAAGATTATTGATGGGGAGCAGTTGATGGAAGCTGCTATTGATGAGCATGTACAAAAGGGAGACGGGGCGGACGAGGATGCATTGATTGATCGTCTACTGCAGGTTCTCAACACTGATAGTCTACCACGACTGCCAGATGAGAATGCCACAATTGAGACATACATCCATCATCTTCACAAGACCATCTTCGTTCCTGTCATCGGTGGTCCAAATGATCGTGACCAAGACGCAGAGAAAGTCGCTGCGGCTCGGGTAGAGGATGAGTCCCCGACAAATGGACCCCCTGACCAGAGTTACACTTGTGGGTCATATGGGACGCAGAAACAAACTGTTCTCCTGGCACGACCAGATGGGCGAGTCCGATATTTTGAAAGAACGCTGTATGACAATGATGCGAAGGCTGTGCCGATCGGGCAAGGCGATCATTCATTTGAATTCAACATCACGGAGTAGCTTCTTATAAGCTTAGTGAATACCTAGACTCCATAATTGATTAATGCATGCACACTAGTATTACTTGAGAATTCGAATTGAAGCCTGCCACCCCACGTGACAAGTAAGCTTGAGACATCCAATCACAGCTCGAATAATTTGATGACAAAACAAGTAGGCGGTAGTTTTCTGCCCAAAAACGAGGTTATAGAGAACTTTAAGGATATCTTTTCGCCCTTCGGGGCATATGGTCAAATGAAAATATACAGAGAAGATTAGCATGGCCCCTGCACTAAGGATGACACGCTCAATCAAAGAGAAGCTACCTATTTTTTTTTTCTTTTCCATGTCCTTCGTTATGGAGATAAGATGTGGCTTGTTTTTACTACTTTTTTGAATAATACGCTTTTGGGAAGTCACGTGGGCACCTACTGTAGTTCGAAGCCCACGTCACGCGAATATAATTTACCCAAATCGGCAAGCAGCTCATCTCAATCGCCTCGGGCCCTGTACCTTCTTATTTTATAAGAAAAATAAAAAAAGGAACGATGGCAATGAAAGCATTAGGCCAGTATATTCTCCCTAGGATGTCCAAAGAGAGTGATAGTATTGCCTTTCTAAATATGCGCTACTCTAAAGGCAGATACTAACTTATTTACTCAGTATGTATTTTTTTTTTTTTGCTCGCCGTATTAGGCCGAATTTATCGAAATACAGTGCCACGAATATATGGTGGTATAATCTACTTATTCCCTATCTGTAGTTGGATTGGAGTGAAACACGTTGTTGGCGAATACAAATATATAGACAAGAATAGTTGGCCGGTTATGCGGCTTTGTGAAAACGGCAACAAAAAGCATGCTTTGTAGACTTGTATATGTAAGACTTTTCATTCATTCATTAACCATAGCTGAAGAGTAGTATAAAAAGCACTTTGTCGACGAATCCAATTATATAGATCTTGACATATACAGACCACTGATCTAATTTTTTTTCGCACGTCAGACGCCGTCCTTACATTCTGCTGATACTGCTTTATAAAATAGCATAGCTTTTATTAAATCCTCAATGGAATGACTCTAGTCTCCAGGAGTCAACCAAACTTCTTTTTTTCAAGGTGTGGGTGGCGGTGGACCCGATAGGATTGCCGAAGGGTGACCAATAGAAAAAGAGCGGTAAGCACTGACATGGCAGAAAATGTGCAAATTTAGTAGGCGGTGTATGAAAACGGTCTGCTCAGAAAAATTCTCACGATCGTCTTCAACATAACTTTAATCTATATACCTTCTATTTTCCGTTGCAATTACACGGCCGTGATCCACCGAGTGAGCCATTTCTTAAGATTTGGTGTTTAATTTCTCAACTACAACATAAACAATGGCTGAAGATACTAGCGCCGCCTGGCCCATCGCCGATGAGGCCCTTGCCCAGAGCCTCCTCGACCTTGTGCAGCAGGCCGCTCACTACCGCCAACTGAAGAAGGTTTGTATCCGCTTTCACCATTTTCTCAGATTAAGCTAACCATCGTCTTAGGGCGCTAACGAGTGCACCAAGTCCCTTAACCGGGGTACTAGTGAGCTTGTCATCATGGCCGCGGATACTAGCCCTCTCGCTATTGTCCTTCACTTGCCTCTTTTGGCCGAGGACAAGAACGTGAGTTAAATACCTTCAAGCCCTCCACCGAGCATATGGACTAATTATTTAAACTAGGTTCCCTACGTTTACGTCCCCAGCAAGATGGCTCTCGGCCGTGCCACTGGTGTCTCCCGCCCCGTCATCGCTGCCTCTATCACTACCAACGAGGCCAGTGACCTGACCGCTCAGATCCGTGCCATCAAGAACCAGGTCGAGCGTCTCATGATCTAAGATGTCCATCTTAGACATGACCAGGAGGATTGGATACGGAACCACTGATTTTGGGAATGGCTACAATTGCAGATCACACCAGAATTAGCCAATATGATAATAAATTGGAACTCCTAGTCTAATTTATTTGCAGCAAATCCAAACCATAAGAAATTAAGGATAGAATGTGCGTATTGTAAATGATCCGCTGGAAAGTCCGGTATGATACTCCGTACATTTCAAGGCGGTAGGCGGGGTGTCCAATTTTGACATGTGGTCTGTCCTCTGTCCATTTTATACCCCGTGGTAGCCCTTCTCTTGGCATCACAGGAAATCTATTCAGCAGCTCCGACTGCTTTGATTCCGGATACGAGAGGGGAGGTCACCACCCCAGTGTTACCCCAGTGGACCGGAGCATATCACATGCATCTTTCAAAAGTCCCAAAACATCTCCTGAACTCCTATCATTCGGGTTATAAATTATGTCCGGGACTAATTAGAATTGTGGATAATCCCTACTTTGGCTTCGATATGAGTTTCCCTGCTTTACAGGTTTGCAGAGGACCCTCCGGGTTCCTTTTGGAAAATTATGCCGGGGAACCAACAGTGATGAAGCTAAATGCCACATGATGTTTCATCTTGAGCATTTCTCATTTACCCGGCGCTTCGTTTTTCGGCCACTACACCCAAGACGGGTTAGCCGATTCCGCAAGTGTATCAGAACAATTTCTTTTTAGATTGCACCCTTTTCGAGGACGAGACTGGTCTAAACTAACGAAATGGAAGCTGAACCGGCTTTGACTCCCTTTAGCGATTTCGTCTCCACATGTAATCAGGCGATGGAGCTAAGTGTTGACTGCTAATCTCCCACATATTGGGTGTGGGCTATGGACAATATGGGGCTTTACTCCGTACAATATCCTTGGCCGCTCGTGCCTGAACTAGTGGTCTTTGGGAAGTTCGACCGTTTTAACCGGGTCCTTCGGTGGTGGAGAGATCCGCCATCTAGAAGGGACTCCTCCTCTGCCGTCAGGGTTAGCGTTTCCCGGTATACCGGTCATAATTGAGCCGAAAGGGTTTCCAGGCGGTTCTCTATGAGAGATCTCAAACAAGGAACCCACTTTGTCTTGGATTGCCTGTTAGTCTACCCCGTAGACCAAGCACTATTTGACGCCTCCGAGCAGGGTATGGCTATATAACAGACGGCCTCCGCAGGTTTCACTCTTGCTTCTTGCATACATTCATTCACATTCATTCACATTCATTCAAACTTCAAGACTGGTTTCTTGATTTTCGTTCTTTTACTTCTCTTCCATCACATTCTTTTACCGTCAAACTCGACACTCACTCTCTTTAACATTTCACAATGAAGTTCACCAACATTGTTCTGGCTGCCAGCGCCGCCACCGTGGCCTGCGCATACCCCCGAGGAAGAGACGTTGTTCCCACCAAGCAGAGCGCTGATATCAAGAAGCGTGCTGCCAGTGGATTCACTTGGGTCGGTGTCAGCGAGTCTGGTGCCGAATTCGGCAGCAACATCCCCGGTACTCTGAACCAAGACTACGCCTGGCCCAAGACTTCCCAGATTCAGATCCTGAGAGATGCCGGCATGAACGTCTTCCGTGTGCCCTTCTTGATGGAGCGCCTGGTGCCTACCAGCCTTACCGGAACCCCCGATGCCACTTACCTGGCCGACCTCAAGTCTGTACGTGATATGTCTGTCGTGGCTATTGTTCTCCCCCTGAGGTCTAACAGTTTCGTTCTATAGACTATCAAGTTCATCACCGACAGCGGTGCCTACGCCGTCCTTGACCCCCACAACTACGGAAGATAGTAAGCGCACCAAATACAGAATTGCCCACCATTATTGGCATCATACTAATGCTCGATACACAGCAATGGCAACATCATCACCTCGACCTCCGATTTCAAGGCCTTCTGGACGACCGTTGCTACCGAGTTCGCCTCCGACGAGAAGGTCATCTTCGACACCAGTAAGCCGTCACCCAATAGTAAAATTCACCCTATCAAACTATCTACTAACATCATCCTCTAGACAACGAGTACCACGACCTCGACCAGACCCTCGTCCTGGACCTGAACCAGGCCGCTATTGACGCCATCCGTGCCGCTGGTGCCACCAGCCAGTACATCTTCGTTGAAGGCAACGCCTGGAGCGGCGCCTGGTCCTGGACTACCAACAACGACAACCTCAAGGCCCTTACTGACTCTGAGGACAAGATTGTCTACGAGATGCACCAGTACCTTGACGGCGACAGCTCCGGTACCTCCGAGTCCTGCGTTAGCGCCACCATCGGCCAGGAGCGTCTCCAGTCCGCCACCGCCTGGTTGAAGGACAACAACAAGCGTGGTTTCATCGGCGAGTTCGCCGGTGGTGTCAACGCCAACTGCGAGGCCGCCGTCGAGGGCATGCTCGCCTACATGTCCGAGAACAGCGACGTCTGGATGGGCGCCGAGTGGTGGTCCGCCGGTCCCATGTGGGGATCTTACATGTACAGCTTGGAGCCCAGCAACGGCCCTGCTTACTCTACCTACCTCCCCATCCTCGAGAAGTACTTCGTCGACGGCACTGCCTCTACCTCCTCCTCCTCCACCTCTTCCTCCTCCACCTCGACCGCCGCTAAGACCTCTACCACCACCGCTGCCCAGACTTCCACCACCACTGCCGCCGCCATCGAGGTTACCTCCACCCCCAACAGCAACGTCCAGGTCCCCAGCTCCGTGAGTGAGGCTTCCAGCGCGACTACCTCCGCTCCCGCTGAGACTTCCGCCGCTGTTGTTGTTCCCGTTGTTTCCACCACCACTGTCGCCCCTACTACCCTTGTCACTGCCGCTGCCACCACTGCTGCCACCTCCACTGCCAAGGCCTACACTCAGGTACCTACCGCCTCTGCCAGCCCCTCTTCCGGAAACGTTGCTAAGCACTACTACCAGTGCGGTGGCATCAACTGGACTGGCCCCACTGTCTGCGAGACTGGTACCACCTGCGTTAAGCAGAACCCTTACTACTACCAGTGTGTCAACTAAGGGGTAAACCTCGTGTTGATTAAGCCAAAAGGGGAGATTTTATTGATTGGTGGCTTGGTGTGAGCGTTTTCTTCCAGGGTTGCCTGTTCATTTACACTTATACATTACTTCTTCTTTCTTCTCGATTTATTTCGATTATATATATATAAATTCTATTCGAATGTTTCACAAATACTGTGTGTGTCTTTTATAGGGTTTGATGTAGTTATAGAACCGATTTCCTATATTTCTAGCAACAAACTGTCTTTTCCCCCGATATATCCAGTGGGTCTCGGTATTATTCTGATATGCTCAATACCCGTGGCCAGTGCTGAAATATCAACCTTGTCTCTGATTTGATGAAACATATCAGTGCTTAATATTTTTATGTGGATACTGTATACCCTAGATTAACATCTTGGATGTGAAACTGATGAATATTCTCCCTAGCAAAGATAAATCCAGATAATATAAAGTGAATTCATAACCACATGCAACAGGTAGGTAAAAACGTCGTTCTCATCATCATCATAGGCCCATACCCCGAAGAGTAACTCTGCCAGGAAGAAACCGATACAAATTAACGTACTGAAGCAGATCTTAGTGCTAGCTGGGCAAACCCAACCAGACGCCTAAGAACCACAGAAAGAAAATAATAAATCGCCAACCACCTCACGCATCCTCAGCCTGGTGCAAACGCACAGTAACCAAATCAGCAGGCGCACTAGTCAAAGTAAGACCATACCGAATCTTCTGATCAGGATAGACATTCTCAATCTGATCAAAGCGCTGCAAAAGCCTCACAATAACATATCCAGCCTCCGTAAGCGCAAACTGCTGTCCAATACAGATCCGCGGCCCCCCATTGAAGGGGATATACTCCCAACCAGGTCTCCGACTCATCCAGCGCTCAGGCTTGAACTCGTCAGCGTCAGGACCCCACAGGTCCTTACGACGCTGCATAACATGCGTCGTGTAGATAACCGACTGGCCCTTGCGGATGTAGACGGGATCCTGCCCGTCCGGACCGCCGCCGCGCGGGATCGTCGTGTCGTGGGTTGCGTTGCGACGGTTGAAGGGGACTACTGGGTACAGACGGAGGACCTCGTTCATCACGTGCTGGAGGTACTGGCAGGATTTCAGGGTGGCGAAGGTGATGTTCTGGGGGTTGGAGTAGGTGCCGAAGTTGGAGATGATTGTTTCGCGGAGTTTGGTGAAGACTTCTGGGTGGCGGGATAGCATGAGGGTTGTCCAGCTTAGCAGGGAGGCGGTTGTGTCGCGGCCTGCGAGGAGGATGTTGAGGAGTTGGGAGCGGAGCTCGATAGGGTCACGGGTTACTTCTAGGAGGGCCTCGAGGAAGACGTAGGAGGATTTTTCGTCGGGGGAGGCTTTCTTTTCGGCTTCGGAAGCTGCGAGGGCATTGGAGACTACTTTGTCGACGAACGAGTGGACTTGTTTGTCGGAGAATTTGGTTTCCTTGTTCTCGGCGAGGAAGGCTAGTTTCTCGAAGCGGCTGCGCTGCGCGCAGACCCATTGGGACTTGTCGAAGTAGTTGGCAAAGGAGTCCTCGGGTCTGTTTAGACCGTTTAGAGCGCCTAGTTGGCTCTCGACACTTTCACCGAAGAGGAACTCTGTGGCGGAGTCGATGGTCAGGCGGAAGAAGATCGATTGGATGTCGGTTGTGGTGGTCCATCCGTTGGCTGCAACGGGTAGAGCCTGCATGGCCTTTTGCACATGCTCCTCTTCTAAATCCAATTGACTGATCTGCTCGCGGGTGAACTGAGGCCGAAGTAGGCCCCGGGAGCGACTCCATTCCTCTCCATCCGCGGTGAACTATAGGCAGTCAATACCCAGAATTGGAGACAGAGAATAAATAAGGTATAGCATGTGACTCACAATACCAGTGCCCAGCAGCGGATGCAAGCTATATCGACGGACAGAACCAAGCTCGAAGTCCTTAAATTGCGTAGCCAGAATAGCTTGGATGTTCTTAGGGTCGATAGTGAAAATGTGGGTGCGACCGAGGTTCCGGATGGAGAATGTAGTGACATAGCGGTTCTCCTGTTCACTAATGATCTTGACACGCTCCTCGGCCAACTCAGGTACTAGTTTGGCCTTGTCTGCCGCCAGGGACTGTTTCAGGTTATCGATTCCCAAAGGATCCTTGCACGGGTACATTGGCACACTGCCACAACCCAGGCTTTTAGCATTACGCGAATGTTGCCATGAGTTGATTGCCATACGAATGACCTGCAGCACGACGGCTGCGGCCGCAAAACCCAAGACGAATGACAGAGTCATAGTCGTGTTCTGGTCGCGTTCTGGTCGCGTTCTGTTAGAGGGTTTGGATTTCCAGAGGGTTGCAAGAAATCAAGCTGGTCTTATAAGAATGTAACTGCCTCGGGGGTCCAAGCATAAGTGGGGAAAGCCTCCGTAACAAGGATTAGGTATGATCGCCACAAAGCTAGGGGCAAATAGCCAATGACAGTCGCAGTGGATGTCATATTCGATCGGCAATTCGGATTTCGCACTCTAAGTAATTTCTGCACCGATCTGGATCTCGGAGTTGTTACTTGGTGTGTCTTTAGACCCGAGTTTGCGTCGGAGTCACCGTATTATCTCATAGGTGTCCTATTCTCTGGGTAATTTCCAATTCCAGGTTCCTCTGAATGTATCACCCGACATGAGGTCCTAGCGGGACACGGTATGGGAGAAGAGAAGTCACCTGTACTTCGCACATGGAGAGGTCTGGGTGTCAGAATAAAATAACGGGGTTTCTCGTGTGACAGCAAACGTCCTGGAATGTGCACAACTTGGATAATTTTATAAATATCTTGTACTTTTTGTATGTGCATAGTTGGTGACGTGCAAATATCAGTAAGTCAGTGGGGAAACCCCTGTCCGCATTAGCGCATTAGTGCATTGGCGTTCTTGGCTAGGCCGAGGTTATTCCCAAAGATGAGTGATCAATGAATTGTAATCAACTTCAACGTCAATCTCAACCTCAACCTCAACTGGGTGCCCTCTGATAATCACAACAATTGGACTATTACTATTTAAGCTCAAAATTGCAGATACAAAGACTCGGGATGGACATGCTATCGTCAAGATCCTACCTGGAACTGTCACAAGAACAAGAAGAAACATCCATAAACACCTCCAATGAAAGCCATCTAAGACCCCGAAAGGGACCCCAAGCACCGGAGATCCCCGACCAAGTGACCGACAGAAATTCGGCTGCTCCGGATCGTCCCGTGCGGAAAAGAGGCCGACCGAGATTAGAGGCTAAAGATGCCACTGCCATCGAGGTAGATCCCGATCGGCCCTGCGATAGAAAGATCCGAACATAGTTGACCAGCTCCACAGGAACGCCGTCTGCAGATCCGACGGGCACAACGTACCTATCGTCTCAAAAAGGAGAATACCATCCAGACTCTCAGGTCTCGTGTCAATCTACTAGAGCAAACACTACAGAATGTATCAAATCACCTAGACGGAGCGCACTCCGACGCAGTCAATAACCTCAACAACGACTCGACTCTTCAACCAAGCGTGGACTACCTCGCCCGCACACGAGAACTCATCCTAGCAGAAATAAACAAGACGCGATCCACCTCCGAAAACAACAATGATCTCCAACTCGAGCATACCAACCGTCCATCGAGAAACAAGGACACATTCGGCTACAAAGTGTCCCACACATATCCTCAGAAGAATGACCCCAACATCTCCTCTCCATACGCACTATACAACCGCGCCCGCTCCCCATCCCCACTAATAAACCGCATCCTCCCAACAACAACAATCTACACCTACAGCCACCAAGAATCGAACCTCTCCCGCCGCCTGCACAGATTCAGCCTCGAGCACACCTACCGCTGGATAACCGACGCACGCAGCGATCCGGCCCTCCTAATCCGCGTCTTCGGACTCGTGCCCTGCATCCACGACATGGCCGGCATAAGACGGAGTTTCCGACGCACGCTGCGTTCCGAGATCGGGAGCGGGCTTGAGTTCTCTAAGATGCCGTTCTACACGCTCGGCGGGGCGGGGAAGCATTTCCCGCGCGTGGATGGCGACGGGAACCCCGTGTATCCCGAGAATAGTCGGAGACCTGGGAAGATTTTGCGGCGGATGGAGAGGATTTTGCAGCGGGGCGGGATTCAGGATTGGGATGAGGATTGGAGTGGGGAGCGTGAGCCGGTTGTTGGTATGTTAGAGGGAATGGTGGATGGGAGGAGGGTGCGGATGGGTGCGGAGGAGAGGATTCGTTTGCTGGATCTCGATGGGGAGTGGTTTGATTGTCATGATGTGCAGGGATATTTGGAGCATCGGGGTCTTATGCTTGAGGGGTCGGCGGTGAGGCTTGATGTTCCTGAGGCTTTGGTTGGAGCTCTGTATGGGGTTTCGCCGGATCGGGAGACGGTTTCTAGTCTCTATGCTTCGTCTGATGGGACTACTCCTGTTGAGAAGATGGAGTCGGAGTCCTTGACTTCGTCGTCGTATAGTTTGGATGTTGAGTGTTTCTTTGACTGTGAGTTAACCGTCGATTCTTTTGTTAATATCACTGACATGAGCGCAGTACTCCTCGCAAACTTCAGAATTCTCGGCCGCGCCCCAGGTTTCCGAGTATGGGACGTAGACGCCGCATTGCGATCAGCGATCTCCCGTCGCCCTTTTACTTAGCCGACACACCAAAAGACTGACAACCGACCTGTCCATGGAATATAATGACTACTTCACGAGCCACGACAATGATCATCTACATATATCAAAACGAGTTAAACCGAACATAAGAATCTGAAATTGAACTCCATTACTGGCATTGTTCTGGGGTATAGCGTAGAAAGATCCAGTATAGCAAAAAAAAAGGGAAGTCCATCAAATCAAATCACATCAAATCGCATCACGTGAAAGACCGCCGAGGCCACGCGGTAGAGGATGATTCCCGTTTAGGAAGGACATCAACAGTTGTCGCATGAGCGCATCGACGGCCACAATCCAATCTCATCCGATCGTTTAGCAGCAAATCTCACAGCACTCGAAGCAAGCGATACCGGCGCAACTGGGATAAGTTAGTTTATTGTAATTTTATTGCGCGCACCGAGTATGACTCTGTGGCTTGGACTCGGGGGATAGAGGGGGAACGTACACTCCGCAGCAGACACCACCGCCGCCACCACCGCGCAGCTGCATTTGTTCTTGGCTGGCCTAGATGCGATAGATGTTAATATTTGTTTTGGCAATATGAAATATGAGTTATGTATTTTGTAGGATATCAACATACCGGCTGCTCAGAGACGACGTTCTGGTTGCTTGAGGGGGCAGCGGGGCTAGTAGGCTGCATGGTGACGGTGTTGGCGTTCCAGCCGTCAGTGGCGGGCTCATTGGCCGGGGCGGACTTGAAGAAGTTGAAGTTGAACATTGTGGTAGTATGTAGTATTTGTATAGGGTTGTATAAGGTATAAGGTATAAGGTTGGAAGGTAGTGATGTTGTAGATGTAGAAGAAAATATAGAAAAGAGAAGAAAAGAGAAAAGAGAAAACGGCGCTATATGTAGTTTTCCCAATAATGTGGAGGATCGGCCAAAATTAAGTGAAATGAGGGAAATGAAACAACTAGCGCCCAACAAAGGAGATTACGCGCTTCCTCCGTACGCATTCCAATACTTTCGGCTTAGCTGAGTGTACAACATACGAGTACGGAGTTGAGGTACCTAGGTTTAGGGACTAATCCGAATGATGCTGCCTGGTCCACACATTGAGGCTTTGCAGTCTACGTAAGAGAGGATTGTTTTCTTTCTATATTTACTTCTAGAACTGTGGCTATGTACGTCTGTACAGTCTAAGCCTACGGAGTACTCCGTACAACATACTAGATGGTTATCTATTGCACAGCCTCTTTGAGCTTGACGAAAAAAGGCCCAGGTGGAAACTTGAAAATCCCGACTCGGCCCTTCAGCCCTGTGGGGAGGCTTGCCAAGGTCTTGGCAAGCGGCTTGTATTAGACAGGTAATCGTATTGCTGACGTTTCTTTGAATGTGAGACATTTGATTGAGACCTCATTTGCACATATCTTCTATGCAAGGAAGAATTGCACTCCGTAGATCATGTATAATAGAAGGGAAGTATAATAAATCATCCATCGAAGCAAATACCCATCACAACTTTGAGAGGATTCCGTCCGGCTGCAAAACGGAAAGATAACATTTTTGAATTTCGCTGATCGTCCGGCACCTGCTTCCGATTAGACTTCTTTCTTCTTTTTATGCATTCCAGAAGAATCACTTACCCGGCCAATGCCATGGTGATCCGCAGTTCTTGGCGGAGGATCCGAATCGCCAATTCAACACCTTCTTGTCCGTTGTACTGCATTGGTCAGTTGGAAATGAAATAAAAAAGCAAAGAAGAAGCCAACACATACAGCCAACCCCCAGAACGGAATTCTTCCAATGAAACAGAAGCTAGCCCCCAAAGCCAGCGCCTTGAAGATATCTGAGCCTCGTCGGATACCCCCATCCACTGCAATCGGGATTCGATTCTTAGCTACAGGGGCACAGACCCGCAATGCATCCAATGTTGACGGCACACCGTCTAGTTGCCGACCACCGTGGTTCGAAATGACGACACCGTCGACGTCGTATTTGATGGCCAGCTCTATATCTTCGGGGGATGTTACTGCCAATCGTTAGTGGAACTGTCACCTGCTTTGATTCACTCGACAGCGCAAACATACCACCCTTAAGCCAGATCTTCAGAGAAGTATTCTGTTTTAACCAAGGAATCGTTTCCTCCCAATCCAAACTGGGATCTGCAAAATATAAACATCAGCATGCCCTCCATAACCTCATACCAACTCCACAGATCAACTTCACAAGACATACCGTACTCAGTGCGGTTTGAGTGATCCGCTCCGTGGCTGAGAATATTCGGCCATGACATATCATCCGGGATGGTATACTCATTCCGGTATTCGTTGATACGTTTGCCTAGCACAGGTACATCAACAGATAGGAACAGCGCCTTGTATCCCGCCTCTGAAAAGGGCATTAGCTCAGCCCGGTCAATGAAACAATGGAAGATAACCATTCAAGATACATACTCTCCGCTCGCTCTAACAACTGAAGCGTAATCGACCGGTCCCGTAGTACACACATCTGCATCACATACGGATTACCCGCTCCCTGTGCGGCGACGTCCTCGAGCGGATAATTCGAGTACGACGACAGACCCATGCAGAGCCCGTATTTTGCGGCTGCGCGCGAGGTCGCGAGCTCGCCATCTGGGTGGGCGAGTTTCATTGATGCGGCGGGGCTGAAGCCGAATGGGAGTGAGACCTGTGATTTGAGTATTAGAGTTTACACTTGCGTATTTGTTTCTGCGAGGAAGAAACAGAGTAACACACATTGCTGCCGAGGAACTCTGTGGTTGTGTCGATTTTGTCGACATTGACCAAGATCCGGGGGCGGATCTTGTACCGGTCGTAGGCTGCTTCGTTCTCGTTGAGACTAGTCTGATGTTAGGGGGATAGACTAGTCGCTGTGCTGTTGAATTCCATACGTAATTAGATCCATAGCTCCTCCATTGTAGTAGTCTATCGGGATCAGCACTGGCACAATGAATCGCTGTTGTGAACTATTCATGGTACTCACCTCTGACCATCGGAGCCAGCCGACTGCTCCCCATTTTCTTCAGGTCAGCAATGCAGCATACATCCTTGTGAAGGGTCTCTCCGCGGTGAGCCATTGTTGTATTGTGCCCGTTGGGATGTGATGATGAAAATTGCCTAAGAAAAATGGATAGGGCAAGGTGACGATGGCACTGTTCAAATAAGAAGGACCCCAGACGAGCTCTTTTCTTCCGAGGCCATTCTCAATTGCCGGATTGAGTTGCACACAAGGAGCTTCTCTTTGCTACTGATTAGTTCCTGGGTTTAGTTTCCTATCGTGGAAGATGATCATCGGAACCGCTTGCTAGATTAAGATTTCGTGGACGGTGTCACGGGCTAAGGATGTCTAATTTCATAGATCTTTTATCAAATTACTATTTACGACCTATAAAAATATAGTATAGTGCTAGCGCTAGTCATACAAGAGCGTCGAGGATGTTGCGCATGGGCTAGCTAAGTGCTGGGTCTAAGCCTGAGAGGAAAAGGCTCTACGAAAAGAAAACCAAAGTTGCTCATGTTGAAAACATTGTTTTCTCGGTATTTGGAGCGAGTGTCGTGTCAATTATGGTTATTATTAACAGTTAGTTCTGAAAAGATGTTCAGCGTTCTTAAGTTGTCAATGGTATGAAGTCCACGGCGGCATCCACTACGGAATAAAATTAGGCAAAACGGGTCGATAGCTGTATTCTCAACCTAACTGACCCATATTCTGTTTTGGTTGTCCAACTATGATCTACAACATAGGACAAACAGAGAGGTGATATGGAATTGATGTTAAAAAGGAACGAAACGAAAGATGAGGGAAGGTGATTCCGGGGAGATAAGCCGATAAGACATCCCATTGAAGAAGGCGATTCCGATTTTGGCGGGGTTGGCTATGACTTCGACTTTCTATTTTCCAAAATGGAATTGAATTAGCAAGAAGCTCCTTTTGAATCGAATCTATCGAATCCTCCGAGAATGGTGCCATCTAAGCGATTAAGACCTCGCCGGTCCCACGCGTTGGGAGGGTGCAGCACCTGCAGACGCCGGCATGTGAAATGTGATCAGAAACGGCCCGTTTGTCGTACCTGCCGAGCATTAGGCGTGAAATGCGAGGGATATTCCGATCAGGTCTTTTGGATGCGCACTGGTAGCGATGAGGAGATTGAGAGTACTCGGGGAACTCGCCGGTATCTTTATTCAGGTACATGGCCCTGACAGTATGAGACAAACTGGATCCGTTGGTGTTGACCCATGTTCTAGAGCAATCTAGACTTTCTATGAGCACTGCCCTTGGGTCTGATCTTATATCAGGCTCCATTGATGCATCGCTGGCAGAGGTTGACTCAAGACTGCGCGACCCTGAACGGTCACTCGAGGGTGATATCGTCATTGGACCCTTTGCGGTTCTCGATTTCTCTTCAGCAACACAAAAGCCAGAGCAGAAATTGGTGCACGAAATTGAAACCGTCAAGTCTGATACAAATTCTGCAGCTGAAGCAGATAACACTGTGGCTCCTGAGAAACTGCAAGAGCCTACTCCCTCTCCAATACTTGATTCCCTGTCTCAGATTGACGACTTCCTCCATTGGTCCGACCTATTGAGTTTTGGTCTAGATCAGACAGAGTTTGCAACAAACGGTGCTCTGAGTATGCCAAATGATATATCATTTGATATGAGTCAAGAGATGGGGTTGCTACCTATTGACTCAAACCACAGCGATGATCTACTGCAAACTTTCACAACACAACAGACACCAGCAGAGCTTATTTCTGCTGATATAGATGCATTGAAAGATGCACCATTCCTGCTTAAACATTTCCAGGATATTGTGATCCCACACATAATGGCCATTCCCTGTCGACAAAAGTCGCCCTGGAAGATTTTGAACGTCCCGGCGGCGGTGGTTACATACAGTGACTCGACCTTTCTTGGGACAGAAAAGATCAGCCATGCTAAACTTGCAAACTTGTATGGCTTGCTCGCCTGCTCTGCTATTCACATTGTTTTGAACCCCTCGACAATATCAACAAACCCACCTGAGTATTGGTGGAAGGTTGCCAATCAGGCATACCTCCAAGCTAAGGATCACATGCAAGCTTCTTTCCATTCAGAAACCCAAGGTTTAAAGAAAGCAAAATATAAAGACCAGCTGATGGCTGCATGCATTCTCATACAGTACACGGTGAGTTTGCCCTTTGACATTAATTGAATGACTCTGACTCTCACAGATCATGTCTGGTCAACAACAACACGCCCGGTGTTTTATGATTGATGCAGAGCGGTTACTGCGTCTTCGAGGACTTTCAAAGACTCGAATTTCGAAAAAGGCACGGCTTTTGCATCACGTCTACACCTGGCTAAGAATAGTCGGCGAAAGCACATTTGTTCTACATGACTACAACCTCTCTTCCTCTTCGTTTGAAGCGCTTGGTTCTAGATTTCAATCCCGACACACACCGGACTCAGAAGAAATGGCAAGTACTGAGCCAAATCCTCGGCTAGACGATTTCCTCCGCCTCGAAACACAAAACTCAGATAGTGATCTGAATATTGATGAACCCAAGGATCAAACTTCGGGACTTCATGACATCCACCTTCAGGACTCACGAAGTTATCCCGAAACATTATACAAGCAAATTTATGGCATCCCAGAAACATGGCTTAGCCTTGTCTCGCAAACAACAAGACTAGCCAACGTTTTGGAGACTTTCCGCGTTGCCCGTGAAGCAGGTCAGACCATGAACCTCGAAGCATGGGAAACACTACAACGACGTAGCACGCGCCTGGAAAACATGATCTGTTCTTTCAGCTTAGGCCGAACAAGAGCCGGAGTCCTGGAGCTCCACCCTGATTCAAAAACGCACGGTCATATGGTGGAGGCGTTGAATGCAGCTCTAGTAATTTTCTTTTACAAACGAATTCGACAGACACACCCCGCTGCTTTGCAGGGTCATGTTGATAGTGTTATTGCATCGCTTCAGGCGTGCAGTGCGACATTAACCGAAGATGATCCCACTGGACCTGGAACGGCGTGGCCGTTGTTTATCGCAGGATGTGAGGCAATCTCAAGTACAAGGCGAGAGGCGATCATGAGTATGTTGGATAGTGCAAGCTCAGTATGCGGATTTGCTGCTTTTGGAACTGCTAGAAATATTATCACTGAGGTATGGCGCAAGCAGGATGAGCATCTGACTGCGAACCGGGGTGAGTCGATGCCATCGTGGGTTGATATTGTAAAGCAAGGACAGACATGGCCCTTATTTTGTTGACACAGTTGGCTATTTTCGTCTTGATTATATTTTACGATTTGTAATATGCACTTTTATGACGCAATGAAGAAGATGACTCCAAGTTTGTATATTCAATAAAGTCCGTAGATAATATTTGTCGCATTCTCATTCCGACATAAAGCATTCTAAATAATTAAATCCACAACAGCAAATACTAAACAGTCTTAACCCCAGCATTCTGCAACAACTGCTTAAGTTCCGCTGTCAACTCAGGATTGAGAAGAGCAAAAGGCTTGCGCAGACCACCAGTAGGCTGCCCAATCAACTCAACACCAGTCTTAACAGCAGCGGCATAGCTATGCGACTCAAGGAACTTGCAAATCGGCCAAGCCTTGGCCCAGATCTCGCGCCCAAGCTTCAGATCTCCCTTGACAGAAACAGCCTCATAAAGCTCAACTGCCAACTCAGGAATAATATTCGCCGCACCCCAGACACCACCCGGCGCACCAGCAGCAAGACCATAGAAAGTCAAAGTATCCCATCCATTGAATGAGACAATCTGATCGGACAGACCGAAGATAAGCTCCGTCAGTGCCGGCGCGTTACCAGAGGTATCCTTAAGGTACTTAACGCCGACCTTCGACAGACCCGCAATCTCAGCGGGGGACAGCGTGATCCCAGTCGCAGCGGGGATATTATAGAAGACAATGGGCAGACCAGAGGCAGTGTGGATCTCGTTGAGAAGCTCGTGCAGCTCTGGCAGACTGACGGGGTCGTAGTAGGGTGGCACGACCATTGTCGCGACGGCACCGGCTTTCGCGGCGTGCACGGAGAGCTCGACGGCCTCAGCGGAGGAGAGACTGCCTGTTCCGGCAACGACGGGGACACGACCAGCGGCAAATTTAACGCAGAGCTCGGTTAGCTGTTTGCGCTCGGCGACTGTCATTGTGGTAAATTCGCCGGTGCTGCCGCCTGGAACGAGACCGTGCACGCCTGCTGTGATCAGGTGCTCAATGTGGGCTTCGAGACGAGATTCGTCGATTGCGGTCTTGTCGTCTGTGAAGGGGGTGATGAGGGCCACCATGATTCCGTGGAGAGAGGCCATTATGGAGGTTGTTGAGGTATAGAGTGAGGGAGAGATGGTTTGGTTGTTTGGTTGGAAAGATGTTGAGTATAATTGAATCGTAGGAAGTGGTCGTGATCTAGATATAGGCGACTTGGTTATGGAATCTCTTACTGTTTCTATATTCAAGATTCTGTTCACTCCATGTTGTAGAGGAGTGACTTTCCTTTTCGGGACGGGTTTCCTATTTAGGATGTATCACTATCATCGGAATGAAGGCTTCTTGCTCTTTTGGCCTCTTTTCCTTTTAATTCTATGTTCTTTATATTGTGATTTTGCTTCAAAGGGATTGTACATTATATCGATAAGATTGCCCAAGTCGTTTAGAATTTGAAAGGCTTGACGGTACATAGATAGAGCTAAGATCGTGTCATGCAGGCTATTAATGGTCACACACTTGACTGTAATTACATCAATAGCTTCGTATGCATCTTGTGATTTGGACCGATCAGGATATATCTCACATTGATTTATCTGCAGGGTCTAAATAAGGCCGTTTAATGTCATTGCATCTCCGATACCGGTACGGAGGACTTCAAAGGTCAATTAATATTCACTTTGGGTACCCTTTAGAGGATTTAAGCTTGTTTGGGAATGTACTAGGATCAATATTCAGTTAGGACTCATCTTATTTCTCTAGAGGAACCTCGTACCAAGGAGACATTCTGCGTAACTACATCCTTCGTCGCTTTTCAGCTCCGTTGAGCTTCCACAATACTTCATTTTCTTTGCTTCTTCCTAGGTCAACCTTGCATTTGTAACATATTCTATTCTTGTTGGGATAAAAATATTCAGCTACATCGAATCGAGCCCGAGAGCAAAATGCAACTTCAGTGGCACGTTAGGGCTGAGAACGTGGCTAACAGCAAAAGCAAGAATGTAAACATATATTAATGTGACATGAGAATGACATGAGAGTTTGGTATGTCTATTGAATAATCAGATAATTTCACATTATTAAGATTAAGATAAATTGAGACTCACTACGGAGTATTCTATCTATGTTGTATTCCATCCACTAATATCGCTAACATTCGCGGAGAGTATATCGGAAGGACTTGCCTGAAGGGGCTTAACCTCATTGGAGGAATGTCCCTATATCATACCCCACGCGCCTTGAGACTTGGAATTTCTGAAAACTGTTTAACTCAATAACAAAATGGATCTCTTCATTGATATTGTCACCCCTAACGGGCACAGCTATAAGCAGCCCACCGGCCTCTTCATCAATAACGAGATTGTGCCCGCCACAGGAGGCCAGACCATCACATCTCTTGACCCCGCGTATGTCATTACCGATTATCGGAATTGCTCCGTACATCTCATTAACTATTTTTTAGTACCGACAAGCCCATTGCCACCGTTCAAGCCGCGAGTGCCGAAGATGTCGACCGTGCCGTGAAGGCTGCCAAAGCGGCCCTGGTCCACCCCTCGTGGAAATTACTGCCCGCAACAGAGCGGGGCCAGTTAATGGCCCGACTCGCTGATCTCATAGAGGAGAACAGAGAGCTATTCGCTTCTATTGAAGCTTGGGATAATGGTATGTGCGAAAATTACCCCAAAAAAGATAATTTGCTCATTTAAGTTAGGAAAACCATACCACGTCGCCGTCGATGAAGATCTCACCGAGGCAATCTCGACAATCCGCTATTACAGTGGCTGGGCTGATAAGACCTTCGGCCAAACCATCACCACAACTCCCCAAAAGTTCGCCTACACAATCCGCCAGCCCATCGGTGTAGTTGGCCAGATCATCCCATGGAACTACCCCCTTTCAATGGCCACCTGGAAGCTTGGCCCTGCACTAGCATGTGGTAACACAGTTGTCCTGAAGCCGGCCGAACAGACCCCACTCAGCGCTCTTATTCTTGGTACATTGATCAAGAAGGCCGGATTCCCTCCAGGTGTGGTAAACATCGTCAATGGTTACGGGCGCGAGGCCGGCGCCGCGCTCGCTTCACACCCATTGATCGATAAGGTCGCATTCACAGGATCAACAATGACCGCCCGGGAGATTATGAAGATGGCCGCTGGCACACTGAAGAACATCACGCTCGAGACAGGCGGCAAGTCCCCGTTACTGGTTTTCCCTGATGCGGATCTGGATCAGGCTGTCAAGTGGTCGCACGGCGGTATTATGTCTAACAAAGGCGAGATCTGTACCGCCACCTCTCGGATCTTCGTCCACCGCGATATCATTGAGAAATTCACTGCTAGTTACAAGACGGCAGTGGAGGCTGTGAAGATCGGCGACCAGTGGGACGAGTCCGTCTTCCACGGGCCGCAGGTGACACGCGCGCAATATGATCGTATCCTCTCCTACTTTGAGATCGCCAAGAGCGAAGGAGCTACTATTCTCACTGGTGGTGCTGCGCACACACCGACTGACGAGAAGAATAAGAATGGGTACTTTATTCAACCTACTGTTATTGTCAATGCAACGGATTCTATGCGCATTGCCCGTGAAGAAGTGTTTGGTCCCGTCGTGGTGATCTTCCCCTTCGATGACGAGGAAGAGGCTATTCGTCGCGCCAATGATACCACCTACGGTCTAGGCGCAGCTGTCTTTACGCGTGATTTGGAGCGTGCTCACCGCGTGGCCGCTGAGATTGAGTCTGGTATGGTCTGGATTAACAGTAGCCAAGACTGCGATCCGCGCATTCCTTTCGGTGGCGTGAAGCAGAGTGGCATTGGGCGCGAGTTGGGAGAGGCTGGTCTGGAGGCATATAGCCAGACTAAGGCGGTTCATGTGAATATGGGTACTAAGCTATGATATCATGAAGTAGATTGCACGATATAAATATAGATTTTTCAAGCTGTGAATTGCCTTGTATTGTAGATAGTGATAGTATGGATTATAGTAAGCGCCCAGCAGAAATGAGGGGTAAACCCACACTTCTAAGATCAATAAGACGTCTTTACCTCTAGTTGGTCAGAGAAGAAATCATGGGTTTCAAAACTCTTGTGTCAAAATTGAAACGTCGCACACCACCAGAAGATCCTATCAATCATTCAGGTACAACATCTGGAAGCAATGGCAAAGCAGTTCTTTCACCTCGAGCCCCTAAAGATGCGGATATCAACCTCATAACCCAGGTATTAGGAACCGATGAGCGTGACTTGTGGCTTGAAGCCTTTGGCAAGTTGCCTCGCAAATCGCAACAAGAACTCGAGAAACGAGGCATGAATCGACAATGCTCTGAGCCTATGATCGATCAGATCAAATCATTTCAAATAGAGGCCAAAAGACAGCGGGATAGAAGCCTGGCTAAAGATTGGAAGGTCCGAATAGGAAACCATGAGCTCCCAGTGAGAGAAACAACTGTCCAGATTGTCCACTGGGCAGAGAGAATTGGGGATGTAGCCATTCAATTTGCACCAGCCCCCGGTGCTGGAGGAGTGTGGACTGTGGCAAAGTCAATCCTCCAGGTTGGTTCTTTATATCAGAAACTAAAGACTAATACTTACACAGTGAGTACTATAGGGGGTCGATACTTTCGACAAAGAAAAAAGCGCCCTGCTTTCTGTTGTTGACAAAGTGGCGGGTGCTATCTTCTGCAGCCAGGTCTACTATGAGATATACAACCCCGAGAGGACGGGGAGAAAGGACGTCGTTAATAGACTTCACGATGCAATTGTCGCGTTGTATGGATGCGTGTTGGAACTGCTGGTCACATCGTCTGATCTTTCATCTAACACTGCCGTGCAATTTTGCCAGGCTATCTTTGACCACACGCAGCCATCTGACATGCTGCTAGAATTGGAAAAATTGGAACAGGAGCTTGTAAAAGCGGCTGGCAAGTGCGAAGATACGGCTCACGCTCATCAGGAAGTTAAGTTCAAAGATTATCTCCAAGAAGCTCAAAGCTCCCTCAACAGAATCACTCGTCATATGGAACACGTCTTCCAGTGGGTCAATGACCAAGAACGGAGGGACCTTCTCGGATGGGTCTCAGGTATACAGTATGGCCGTCATCACGATGAGATCGAAGAAAGAAGAGAGCCCAACACGGGCGATTGGCTTGTTCAAGATGAGAGATTTCGCGAGTGGATGGATTCACCCTCGCACAGTACCCTGTGGCTTCAAGGATCTCGTGAGTTTGTTAAACTTTAAAAGATATTATGCCTCTGACAAAAGCTAGCTGGCACGGGAAAATCCTTTTTGACTTCAGCTGTAGTCAAGCATATGATGGACACGAAGGGATCACAGATGGAGGGATTTGGCTATTTCTTCTGCAACCAAGACGAGAAAGATCGGCGGGAAGCACTGCCAGTGCTTCGAAGCCTAGTTCGTCAGTTTGCTGCCCCAAAGAGTAGTACGGAATCGGTCAGGAAAAGCCTTCGAGATGCACGGGGAAGAGCAACTGATAGAGCGTCACGACTCGGCTCCTCGGAATGCCATCGTCAGCTCGTGGAATCATTCAACTTATATTCAACAAGTTTCATCATTCTTGATGGCTTGGATGAAGTTCTTGACGATGAACTTGATATCCTGATCGAGGCGCTTGACAGTGCCATTGCCGAGACTAAAGACAAAGGCAGAGTAAAGCTTTTTGTTGCTAGTCGGCCTGAGAAGAACATTAGCGCAAAATATGGCTCAAGTTCAACTGTCATCATCCAGGCCCAGGACAACAAAAAGGACATTGAGAAGTTTGTGACCAACGAGATGGATAAATTTGGAAAGAAGCATCCCAGATCGGATGTGAACGCTATGAAGGACACGATTATTCGAGTTATTCTTGACAAATGCGACAACATGTAAGACCCCATTTGACGAGCGAACAAGTTCTATGCTAACGAGGAGAACAGGTTCCTGTGGGCTGCCCTCCAGATAAAGCAGATGATACAATGCAACACCGTTGAATCAATTCATTACGCACTGGAAAATCTCCCAAAGGGACTGGATGAGATGTACAACCAAATATGCCAGAAAATCCGCACCCGATTTCCCCCGGAACAAGCTATAGCAGAATGTGCGCTTAAGTGGGTGCTGTATTCTCCTTATCCACTCACAAGTGAGGAGCTCCTCTCCGCCACTCGCATGTTTATTGAGAACGAAAACATCAAGTTGGCGAGTTGTATCCAGCAAGAGTCTTTGCTCTCAATCTGTGAGAACTTGCTGGTAGTTGATACCGATGGTCGATGGAGATACTTCCACCTGTCAGCGCGGGAGTATCTCGAGAAGACCCATGAAATATATGAACAAGGACGCTCTTACTGTGCGCAGGTGTGCCTTCTGTCTCTTATGAGAACATTTGGCCCAGCAACACTTCCTGGAAGCTCCGAGGATCCATTGAATCCGGCACATCCTTTCTCTCAGCACACTCAGACCTGCTGGCCAGTCTACATTGTTGGGCAGACCGAAAAAGATCAGTCTGTCATTTTGCTTAAGAAATTCCTTGGTTCACCTGGCAGAAGTAGCGTCTTCTACATTCGATGGCTTGATCACGTCTCCGAGCACGATCTTCCATTTCAATTCATAGACCATGAAGGTCTGGCCCCAAATACAACACCAATGTTCGCTATAGCTCACCTCTCACTGTATGAAGAGACTCTCCGAGAGTGGTGTGACAGCAATGATTTTGACCCATTCCAAGAAAATACCCGTGGAGAAGATTTGCTCATGATGGCCGCCATGAATAATTGCATACCTTTGTGTGCTACTCTTATTGCAAAGGGAGTCAACGTCAACCAATGCCATGTCAATAGCAGGTATGGAAGCGCCCTTGCAGCCGCTGCCTCGTGTAATATGATGGATACAGTCAAATACCTCGTGGAGGAGGCAAAAGCAGACGTGAATCTCCCGCTTGAGAGTGGGGATTACGGCAGTGCGCTGGCTGCTGCTGCCACACGTGGAAACTTGGACATCTTGAGATATTTTGTGGAGGAGGTCAAACCAGCCGTGGATCTTCTAGTTCATGTGAGAGTCCATGGCAATGTGCTCGTTGCCGCTGCCTTCAATGGCAGGCTGGATGTTGTGAGATACCTCGTGGAGGAAGCAAACATTGATGTGGATCTTGAGGATGATGAGGAATTTTTCAACTGTGCGCTTGAGGCTGCCAGCTGGGGAAGTCTCGTCGTAGTCAAATATCTGGTGGAGGAGGCAAAAGCAGGCGTGAATCTACCGCATCAGGCCAACAATGCACTTGTCGCCGCTGTCTCGAGTGGGAAACTGGATATTTTGCGATACTTTGTGGAAGAGGTAAAAGTATATGTAGGGAGCATGTTTGAGCAGGGGCGTATTAGTGTTGCACTTGGGATCCATAGTGATGAGGATGCTGTTGCGCTAAGGGAAATCCTAAAGCTACCCAGTGATCAAGAAGCAGCAGGAGATGAGCACTGAAATGGAAGTGATATAAGCACAGTAAACACTGGATCTTTACATGTATGTATGATTGTAAGCGTAGGTCATTTTATATCCGCACCACACTTCGCTTTAGTTTGACTGTACACTATGCTTCCGAGAATGCTCAAATAGATGATTGGCTATTTTATCGAATGCATTTAATATATATTATGATAACCTTGCTCAATAAATTTATGATTAATGTATCAATCGTGATCAAATGCATCCATCCCATGCTTTTATGTCTTCCGGACTCTACTCGGTGTCTGCCTAGGGTTAGGGGGCCGATACAAGACTGAATTACTTGGCCAACGCAAAATGAAACCAACTTTTTGTCTCTTTTCATTCATCTCTTATAAATTTATAAATTAGCGTCCAAAATAATAGAGTTCAAAGGTTACTGTCGCTAGCATGCATGAGTCATTATGAGTATGGATGCGCCATGACTAGTCTCGTTTGGAAATAAGCATAATAAGCTTAAATAATGATAATAATGAGTCATTATCACTCTTCAACTATCATTCATAATTTTAGATATTACCAAGTATCTAATTAGAGAGAATAAACATCATTACTTTACCCCGTAGCTATTGTATCAAGACTGTAGTATATAATTTAACTTTTCCACCAGCAAATAACCATCTTTAACATCCTACGTATCCTTGTTAGTCTCAAAATCAAAGATGGCACCAATATATGCGCCTGCATGGAATGAGGTAAATTGCATACAACCACCACAAGATATAATAAATACTGACCTTGAAAAGTTTGTCCAAGAAATTGGACCATTGCTCATGACCGGCACCACAGTTGAAGACCTGTTCAAAGATTCCGAGGTCAATACGCAAAAGATTATATCCAAATACGAAATCCCGCTACCTGATGATTCAGTCAAAACCGAAGATATCAAACTGAAAGATGCCTGGCTTCGAGTCTTCACACCTCCATCAGCGACAGGTGACGAACCAGTCGGCATTTTTATGCATGGTGGAGGATGGATTATGGGAAGCGTTGACCACGAAGATGCTGCATGCCGACACATCAGCAAGAGCACCGGCATGAAAATCGTCAGTATTGGATACAGACTGGCACCGAAATTCAAATTCCCCCACGGTCTCAACGACTGTGTTGAGGCAACCCTATGGACACTCGAGCACTTCTCGCTCTCATCCGTTGTGCTCATGGGAGGCTCGGCAGGCGCTAATCTTGCTTTTGGTGTTGCATTGAGACTTATCGATTCCGGACTTGGAGATAAAGTCAGAGGCATTGTGGCTTTAGTTCCTTGCACTGTGCACCCTGATGCAGTACCGGAAGACAAGAAGAAGCAATTTACTTCTTACGAAGAAAATGCTATTCACACTGTCAACACATTGGCCGCGATGAAATGTTTCTTGGATTCCTATGCGCCGCCGCCGGGAGACAAATATTTCTCGGTTCTCCTCCACCCGCGCTTGAAAGATCTGAAGAAGGTCTATATTGTCGAATGTGGAACTGATACATTGAGAGATGACTCTCGACTGATGAAAGTGGCTCTGGAGGAAGTTGGTGTACCGATCATGTATGATGATTATCCTGGTTATCCTCATTATTTCTGGTCATATCCTTCTCTGGTTCTGGTGAAGGCTTCGGGGGAGTTTTACACGAACGTGTTCCGTGCGATAAAATGGATTAATTCGGTGTGAAAGTACACGGACACACTATTTACTTCACATCAAAGATGCGCTTCAATGCACATGATCTACCCCCGGTGCCGTGGACATCTGCTTAGACTCGATCTAGGAATTTAAGAAGCCAATAGATATATCTATAACAGCAAATCTATGCCATGATTACTCTGATCGTTAGTATGTCAACCACACTAGTCAATCATAGGGAAGAGAGTCATTGCTATCGGTGCGATGATCCCCTGCTCTGCATGCAATGAATGAATGTGTATCCGGCCTGGCAGACCATATATGAGCCGCACGCGGAATCCAGAAAAAACCGAGAAGTGCAACTGACTAGAGTTGCCAAAGTTCTTCGCGCCCATAAGCCTCATCGCCCAAATTGTGGCTGTTATTGCGGGCTTGACTGCCAACCTACACCGCGGCCTATCGCAGGGTGGGCTTTTGTCTTCAATGTAATTTTGAAGGTGATATGATCAATCTTGGGAGAGGTGTATTCTGTCTTTCCCATTTTTCAATGCGACTTTCTAGGCGCGACTTGCCGGCGATCCTCTCAATCAGACATCGTCGTCTTAGTGCGTCCAATACACATAAGTCAGTACCACCCGACCTCTGTGGATCTTCATTTGAGGAGAACGATTAAGACCTTAGGTTGTCAGTATAAGCTCTAGCTGTCACGCGTAGAGATATATTGGGACGCGACTTACTGGCTCAATAAGAGCAAAACCTCGACTTTCGGGGATTTAAAGAGGCCTACGCCCAGTAGTGTTTGTTACTCATTGAGTTGAGAGTTGATTCCCACCTGAGCAGGCTGTGTGAAGATGACAACAAAGCAATGGAGAGGAAGACGATGAGGGCATGAAAGAGGGATCGATTTGTTAGGAAGGAGCAAACAGGCCTCAGGCTGCAAGGCTGCCACCACATGTCATCTGAAGCCTGCACATGTGGACATGGTCAGTTGCTTATCCGATAATATATATTAACCAAATACGGAGTACGGAGTACTCCATACATTAACACGAGCTCGTGGAATCCTTCACGAATAGCTAGCCGAAAGTCTGTTGGGCCGAACGCCCCCCAAAAATAAGCGGAATTCCCCCCCTTTCGGAAGTCCTTCGTCTCTTGCACTTTACATCGTGCAACTATCAGCCTCCTGACCTTACAGTTCAACATGTCATGCCCCAACTGTTTTAGTGGCCATGTCCACCAAGGCACTCCCCGTGGCGAAGTCACCTCTCTTCATGGCTTACAGGCCTACACGACCAAGCCTCTAAATGATGTACCTCATCGGGGCATTATCATCATAGTGCCCGACGCCTTCGGCTGGGAGTTTGTGAACAATCGAATCCTAGCAGACAACTACGCTGAAAAGGGGAAGTATCTCGTTTACCTGCCTGACTTCATGAACGGTATGTCCTAGTGTCATCAGAGACCCCTCAGGCTGGATAGCTTACTGATAGTAATATTAGGGCATGCGGCCCCAGTCAGTATGATGTCTGCCACAAAAGGGGTGCTAAAGACAAGTGGACTCACATCCTGGCTTATGAAGCCGTAAGTCGATATCTAAAATAACAGACGCCCGGATCGCACTTGTATAAAACGGTCACTAATCCAAGCTATAGATACCACCTAGCCTCAATGCTGACGAAAATGCTACCCTTCATGTACTACAATACGTTCAAAGTATCATGGCCTATTGTCCGGGACTTTTTCAAGTCCGTGCGCGAGAACGAAGGTGCCGAGCTTCCTCTCTACGGAGCAGGTTTCTGCTGGGGTGGAAAGCATATCGTCAATCTCGCTGCTGGAGCGGACATAGCCTCGAACGGAAAGCCACTGCTTAATGCTGGGTTTACAGGCCATCCTAGTCTTCTCGAGATTCCTATCGAGATTGAGAAGATTAAAATCCCTGTGAGCTTTGCGGTTGGGGACAAAGATATATTTTTGAAGCCTCCACATATTGAGCAGATCAAACAAGTATTCGCCAGCGAGTCCAGTTCTGGGAAAGGAGAAGTGGTGGTATATGAGGGAGCCGGCCATGGCTTTTGTGTCAGGGCTGATTTTGTTTTGGAAGATGCGAGTAGACAGGCCGATGAAGCAGAGAATCAGGCACTGGCCTGGTTCGAAAAGTATTAATAGACTGGAGAGATATTGAGTTTCTATATTGAGTTTAATCGATTGAAGTGAGTGAAAGAAAGTATAGTATGTTGCAGAAAGTAGGAAGCGAGTGGATGTAAGAATAGTTGTGGGGCAGTGACAGCATGGACACAGCCACTTATTGCACCGCCTTGATGTGGCGGTGCAACCAAAATCGTCGAAATCAAAACAACAAAATGTCCCTTCTGCGTCCCACTGACGTGGTCCAAGTTCCAAGTGGAGAATGCATTCTGGAAGCTCACCGCAGTCCATGCGGTTTAGTGTCTTTTTTGCCCCAAATGGTTTCCTGTTCAATAAGTTCACGTCGCAGCAATACCATCTCTTTTGCTTGATCGCTTGCATTCATACATGCCTCAAATCTCAAACACTCCAGAATCTTTGCTTCCTCGCTCGGATTCTCGAAACCCAGCGACAACATGTAGAGGCATAACCGCCCAAGGTCGGCCCTGCCGCCGCTCTTTAGCATCTCCGAATCCATCGACTGCTTCTAATCCTCGAAAGAAGGATCCTCGCCAAGAAGCTATAGATGTGGCATCTTTGTACTGCTGGCAGCACAAAGATCAGGACTCTTCGGCGAATCCCCCTACGGCTGTCATCACCCCGGCTAAGACGAGGACAAGCATCGATACATTAATGGATCGACTGGGTGTGCTAGAAATAAACGATGATCCAGTCTCCCAAGGGCCAAAACCTCCCCATAAAAGGCGGACAAATCAAAGTAGGCCCAGTGAAAAGCGTCGGCCGAAGAAAAAGACTATTTTCTGTTGCTTCCAAATCTTGGAGGACAGCGGCGAGGATGACAAGCCCACCTCAGTTCAGCGGCCCAAACCTCCTCGCCCGACAAGTGGTGTTTCGGCTTCTGCAAATTCGAGCCAAAAGATCAAACTGCCTGCCTCAGCCGGAAAGCCGCAGCATGCACAAGTGTCACCCACTCCTCCGATATCCCGGCCGTCTTTGTCGGACACGGGGAAGCCTTCTTTCCCACAAACACAATCCTTGTCATCGTGGATTCCGTCCACGCTTTCCCCACAGACAACATCCATTCTTACCACAGAACTAGCAAAACCAATCTCCAGTGCCGACGACGAAGGCTATATCTATATGTTCTGGGTGACGCCCCAAACAACTACCACAACACGGAGTGCTGAATCCGCAGTACCGCGAGACATAGCATCTTCTCTGCTACCCCAAGCCCCACAAAGTAGCAACCACCTCCGCCCACCCACCCAGCCACGCAGCGTTAGCGAAGCAATCCGTGCAGCACAAGACCTCAATGCCCTCACCTCTAACCCAACACCAACCACGCCCGGAACGCTCCGGCTGAAAATCGGACGCACAAGCAATGTGCACCGTCGACTCGCTGAATGGAGTAAACAATGCTCTTATGACTTGACGTTGATCCGTTACTACCCTTATACGCCATCATCATCCTCGTCACCATCCCCTACTAGGGTGCCCCCATCCCACAGTAGCCGGAATAGGGCTCCTTCCGCCTCTTTAGTACCGGGAAGGAAAGTTCCGCATGTGCATCGCGTGGAACGGCTCATTCACCTGGAGCTAGCGGCTCTCCGTGTTCGAGACTTAGGACAATGTCCTGAGTGCGGGAAGGAGCATCGGGAATGGTTTGAGGTCGAGGCGGAGAAAGAGTCGCTAAGGAGAGTGGACGAGTGTATTCGACGATGGGTCTCCTGGGCCGAGTCGATGGCACCCTAACCATGTTCGGCTTGATACCTATCATTTCAAGAATATTGGCAAGATCCATGACCTGCGACTGCCGCTCGATGATGACAGTGATTCTGCCTGGCTAGTCCCTGAGGAAAATTATAGTAAACTTGTAGTTATAGACATGGATATTTCGACCTATTTATCTATTTTGGTTTGATCTATACCTTCCGCTTCACTAGTCCACGGAAGAAGTCGAAACTGTTACTATCACTCTGTAATTGCCACACACGTCCCGTAGGACGATCATTCCACCCCAACTCCTCGGCTAGCAAAAGACCCCAATCACGGGTAATACCCTGAATGCGCGCGCGAGCCCCGCCCTCCTCCTCCAACGTAACAATCTGGTGCATATGTAGCCAGTCTTCATAATACATAGCCTCAAAGCCACGATCAAAGCCCGTGCGCAAGAAGCGGGTATATAAGGCTTCAAAGGTAGTCAAAATGCGAGCTAGGAGCCTCTCTAGCATGACAGGTGAAGCGGCTGCAGCGCCCGGGGAGGCGTAGCGTGCGGCGAGAGTGGTCAACGCGGTTGTCGGAGAGGCGTTGGTGGCATTGACACCAATACCGACGACGGAGATGTACTCGTTTGACATGAAATGGGAGTTGATAAGGATGCCGCAGATCTTTGTATACCGTTTCTGTTCGGGATCATCTGGATCTAGTGCATCTGTAGAGATTGGTTATTAACAAACAACTTGTAGTAATAAAATAAACCACCCGGCACGTACAAATATCGTTCGGCCATTTAAGTTTGACCGGGATCTTCTCGTAGCCTTTGGCGTAATTCTTGATTCCTCTGACTACTGCCATGGCTGATAGGTACTGAAGGAACACAACCGGTGCTGACTGAATCTTGTCTATCGGGTGGCGCACCACAGTTGAGAAGATGAGAGAACCTGCTGGTGAGACCCAGACATTGGATCCGCGACCGCGTCCAGCAATCTGTGCTGTAGCGGTAGCCGTAAACCCTTGCGGTAGCTGACGAAGCAGCTTCGTGTTCCTGTTGCTCGTTAGAGACAAAGCCAACCAGGACCATACTTATCAACCGAAATGCTTACTTTTCAAGGATTGTGTTCGTGCTAGTCACCACCTCTCCGTATAAGAGATTAGAGCCAAATGTTGTGGCCTCTCCCTTGGACTCGGATTGATATTGACGGAGGTGGGAATAGAATGCATGGTGATTGAAGTATGGAGTCAGTTTTGAAGATGGGATATCATCATGGAACACAAGTCGCTTGATGATTGCCTGGTAATCGACTATACCATCGCTAGACTCCGAGGATCCTGCGGGGAGCGATTCTTCTAGTTCGCCAAGATTCCATGTTCCAGGACGTTCAATGCGGAACGTATCGTGCTCGTCCTTGAGATACTCGGTCTGGCCCTCTTGGGTAAATGTAGCTCCAAGACCTGACAAGATATCCATGGGACCATCGGCATCGATTCCAGACACGTGCAAAGATGACAGTGAAGGCACTGTTGTCGTGTCCTGCGTGACCTCGAGTCCAAGTTTGGACAGACAAGCCTTTAGGAAGTCAGTCCGTTCCTTGTCATCGGCAGCGAGAGCCGCCACCATGTCGGCATATTCAGGCCCACCCGCCTTTGGATCCAGATTAACAGCCGCAAATCTAGTTCACAAGTCAGCGAATCAACCCTGCCAATTCAAATTCAAAACGTACTCAGGATGAGGTCCGGTCAAAACTGCTGCTCCACTACCGACTTTGCAGTAGACAACAGCAGCCGTACCATCCCCTCCGTCGACATTCAACTTTTCAGTATAGTTCGCAAGAACCTCAACCCCTTTGTCTGCGAGCGACGCCGCATCAACGAAGACACCACCGCCATTGTAGTACGACCGGAAGTTGGTTGGCACCGTGCCAGTGTTCAAAGCATCCTTAGCCACTTCAAGCTCCGCAGCGCGTGCCCCCGCCTCGCTATGGTAAACGAAGCCCGGGAATGCCCCGCCCCGACAGATGCCCGGATAGAAAGCTAATTCGCGATCTCCAACAACCTCCATTGTCTTATCCCCGACCTCGAACTCACAACGCTTGGATCCGTAGTAGCCACCAGCACACAGACCGAGGTACCGCCCACCATTGCGAACGAATTGCGCGATGCGCCGGTTCCCCGCACCATTAAGTGTGCGACAGTATCCCAAATCCGCGCCGCCGGGCATGACCAGCATGGCGCACGTAGTAATCCATGGCTCGTTGAGGAGCATATCGCCCGTCACCGGGATGACAGCATAGTGGTTGGCGAGTAGACGGCGGAGGGTGTAGAGGCAGTGACGGACTGACTCAACGGTGGTTCCATTTCCTGTTGAGAAGTCGTCGGGTCAGAAAACGGCAGAGCTGCCAGGCTGAGGAAAGTGAGCGAACCGGAGTAAACTAGGACATTGAGCTTTTTGCCACTGAAATCAGCGCTATTGCCCGTTGGCGTCGCCATTGTTGTTTCGTTGCAAAGGGAAATCAGCGCGATAAGATAGTTCTCCATCTTCCGCCGAGGCCAACCGCCTTTCTCCAACTTTCCTTGTTACCATACCCCAGCCATGTCGAATAACGTGGAGAAGACAACTGTTGTCCCGGATGATGATGAGCCGGATGATTGGTGAGGCTTTTTTCATTTGTCTGGTATGTGTGATGCTAACTGCAATGGCAGGGACAAGCGGATCTTCAGCACAGGGTGTCATAGTAAGTTATACTCAATTCGAGTCACAGATGTGAAACTAATACATATCAGCTGAGCAGGATAAGATGAATGACTGCTACTACGCAAAGAAGGACTGGCGTGAATGCAAAAAAGAGGTGAGCTATAATATCCACCAATCTGAACATGTATCAGGCCACCTGAAAGCTATTGAAAGCTATTGGAGGGCTAGTTCTGCAATGATCATTATACCACCTCTCCGGAGTCAAATGAATGGCAGCAACAGCAAACAGCTTCAGCTATCTAGATCATACTGACTCTAGTCAACACAGATGGAAGCTTTCCGCGAGTGCTGGAAGCGCCAGGGCAACGACCAGCGAACGCAGACCAAAGACGCATAATGTACTCTACACATCTATAATACCATGTTCAAATAGCCCATTTCAATCAATCCCACTCAATACATACCCGACCATCCGACCATCCGACCATTAACAGAATAAAGCTATCGAATCCATATCACGTGATCGCATATATTCACCTCGTTGCAAGACCTCCCTCCTCCTTCCCCTATCAATAATACAAGCCACGATGTCTGCTCCTCTTCGTATCCAGTCCTGGCGGGCAATCGAGACCCTCCAAAATGCGACACAGCTCTCGCGCTTCTCAAGAGCCCCCAATCCCAGAGTCAGCCAGCTCTTCAACCCGATGACCAAAAGAGCAATCAGCTACACCACCAAAAACCAGAACAATCAATCCACCACTAAGCCCTCCCCCTCACCCTCATCCTCCGCCACAAAGCCTGCACCCTCAGCTTCAACACCCATCCCAACAGGCGTCCCCGCATCCCGCGTCCCAGGCTCAACCCCCAGCCGCGCAACAACCGAAAACATCTCCAAAACAGGCCTATCAGACAAACCCCTCGAGCTCGAGAGCCCAGCCGAAGAAAGAATCGACTGGACGCGCTCCTTCCATGGTCTATCCGCCGAACCGTTCCCCAAAAAAGCAGCCGATATCCTGCTGGCCGAGACGGAACCGGACGAGGTCGAGATCAAGCCCGATGGTATCCTCTACCTTCCGGAGATCAAATACCGACGGATTCTCAACCGCGCTTTTGGGCCTGGTGGGTGGGGTCTCGTGCCGCGGAGTGAGAGTATCGTTACGCCGAAGACGGTGACGAGGGAGTATGCCCTTGTTTGTAATGGACGGTAAGCAGATTTGCTATTCCTTGGGTTTTTTTTTACAATCTTGCAAGCTTGTCAACCAGTCTTGATTTCGATTTATCCTAGCCTGTATCAGTAAAGGAACTGGACCTGGAACAAGAACGCTCAGCTAACACACTTCCCACTCCAGCCTCGTCTCCGTCGCCCGCGGTGAACAGGACTACTTCTCCCCGGACGGAATCCCCACTGCTACGGAAGGCTGTAGATCGAACGCGCTCGTGCGCTGCTGCAAGGATCTAGGTATTGCGAGTGAACTGTGGGACCCGCGCTGGATCCGCAAGTACAAGGCCAAGTACACGCGCGAGGTATTTGTTGAGCATGTGGTTAATAAGAGGAAGACTAAGATCTGGATTCGGAAGGATGATCCTGTTGGATATCCCTGGAAGGAGACTGGAGGTAAATAGGATGGGAAGATGAAATTGGATGTTGGGACTAGATGGGCTTTAGCTTTTACCTAGACTCGGTCAGACTTGTATTATATCACTTTGTATTGGATATGTTGGATTATGGGAATATTATCTGTTTCTCTACTCGGTATTTTCATTGGAGTGTTTTCATCGGTTTCTCTGGGTATTAATTGCTACATCACAGCTCTCTCCCAATATGAAGTATACATCGCCTGTTAGACTGACAACTTTCTGCTCTATTTTCATGTCACTTGCCTATTATCTGACATGTAGATGCCGTAGTTATACAGTAAAAATCATATTAAAAGAGAGCTGGAAAAAAAAAAGAAAGTAAATTTGATTTTAAACCCCCAAAAATAAGGAATAGCATAGCTTCATAGCCGCACACCACCAAGAGATGAAATTTTGATGCGGCTCAAAAAACGCAGAGAAAAGAATCTATCGACATCACACGCATAATATGCACAACCCAAGAAGAAAGGGAAAAAAAAGAGTAGGTAGCCAAGAATGGGTAATCAAAGAGAGTTACTGATACAAGAAACAAAGAAGGAACGATCAAGTCTCACGCTCCCCATAAGGAGACTTATCCTTCTTCCTCAGTGGGGCAGTGTTGTAGGCCGCACCCTGCTGTGGAGCCGCCGGCTGGGGCGGGGAGTAGATAGACGGCGGGGAGACAGGGTCATATCGATCTGAGAGCTGGTAATTGCTTGACGCCGTCACGCCGGAGATATTCGGGTTCGAGTCGCGGCGCTCGCGTGCCGGTGTGTTCTCGGCACTGTAGCCGCCGACCGGAATCTGATTGTATCCCGTATCGTGGGCATAGTAGCCACCGTTGAAGGGGTTAGGGTCTGGGGACCCGACCATCTGGACAGTGCTCTGGTGTTGGTCCTGGCCTGAGTGGGGACGGGGCTCGTAGCGGGCGCTGCCACGGGAGCCTGGCTGAGGGGCCTCGAGGATGGGCACCTGGCTTGAGGACGGGGTCATGCCAGCGGGAACTGGGGAGAGAGGGGCGTTTCTGGGGGCGGAGTAGTGATCGTGCTCGTTGTAGGAGACGCGTTCGCCGAGCTTGCGGTGGCCGGTTGATAGACCGCGGGTGATGCCTTCACTGCCGTTGTGCACGTTTAGCTGGTTGCCTTGGTGGGAAGCGTTGGTAACAGTGCGGTGGAGGGCGTTCTCGTGGCTGTCGTAGTCATCGCGGCCAGCGTCGACGGTTGGGGAGCGGGCGTTGAGCATTTCGACGATAGCGGCTTCGCGCTCGGCGTTGGTATGGGTGGAGACACGGTGGGTGATTGTTCCTGAACGGGTTTGGTCGTATCCTGTCGACTGGGCTGTGTTCTCGTAGTTGAGGATGCCTGCGGCGGCAGCGGCGACACCGGGGTCGGGCTTGGAGGAGTCCGCACCGCCACCCTGGGTAGACTTGCGGCGACCTGCGCCTGCACCAGCACCGGAATCATCACCCTTGTCATCGGCATCTGCGGCGTCGGCAGTCTCTTCTTCGGGAAGGGCAACACCTGGACCGCGAACTTGGATCTTGCGAACGGCTAGGACCAAAGCACACAGGAACTTGGATCGCCGGGCAGCGCGAATAGTCTCGTTAGACCAGTTAGACTTGTGACGGATGTCGACACGCAGCTGGAGCTTGTCCATATCACCAACGCCATCGAGCTCGATGTCGATATCCGGCTGGAAGTCACGGCTGTTCTCCTTGTCACGAACAAAGTTCTCCATCTCCTGGCGCAGCAATTGAACCTCAGCGAAGCTAGTGTCGAAGGCCACGGGGATGATGAGCTGTTCGTGCATAGCATTGGCGCGAGTGAAGTTGTCAACCCAAAGACTGTTCAGAATGTTGTTAGGCACCTGCGTGATGCGGGAATCCGTAACATTGCGGAAGACAGTGAAAAGAAGCGAAATACGCTCAACGATGAAAGGCTTGTCGCTGACCTCGACACGGTCGCCGATATCGAAGGGATGCTTGACGAAGAGGAAGATGCAGGAACCAAGGACTTCTTGAGCGGTAACGGAGAAGACGAAACTGAGAGAGAGCAGCGAAGTGGCACCAGCTGCAATGACGGTACCAAATCCAGTGGTGACGAAAGAAATGAAGACAAGAACACCAATTAGACCAGCCACACACATGAGCAGGTTGTCCAGCACACGGATAGCCTGGTCGACATCGTGCATGCTGTGGTGCAGGGCCTTTCTCATGCGTCCAAACTCGGTGATGGTCAGGACCATCTCGTCAAGACTGATATCACCATTGCCATCCCTGTCAAGGGCCATGAAGCACTCCTCGGCCTCAGCCTCGTGTTCAGCACCCAGGACCTCAACAATGTCATCCATGTACAGAGCTTCGCGGCCCTCGACCACAAACGACATCCAGATGCGGCGGGCCAGCGCAGCAGCATGACGCTTGCGCTCAAGGGCCTCGATAACCATGGTGTGCGTCGAAGTCGGGTTGAATACTTGCTTACCAGTAAGCTCCGATGCGACATGTCCAAAAGCGGCGGTGACCTTGTCGCCGACACGGCCGACGTTCCTGCCGACTTGACGGAGCATGCGGAGGGGCATTGCAGATGACCGCTTGCCACCCAAGGTGCCAGCCTGAGCCAGGATGGAATCGAAAATGAGCGAATCTTCCTCTTTGAATTCAGGGCAGTACACAGGGAACATGTTGCGCGAAGCCTCAAACAGGAGAGTGACCAAGTGCACATTGCGTTTAGAGACCTGGATCTTGGCGTCGAACTGTTTGCGGTGGTAACTGATCGAGATGAGCTGCACAAGGGCCTTCTCGGACAAGTAGATGAGGCTGCAGAGGAGCAGCGCAAGCAGAATATTCTTGATAGACTTCTCCCACGCCTTAACACCCGTGTCGCCGGAGTCCTGCTTACTAGGATTCAAGGTCATAACAGGCAGGAAGGTCACGAGGGAAACAATAGACCAGATCAAGAGCGCAATGGGGGTCTCGAGAGCGCGCAGAATAAGCGCATACTTGCGGGTACCGGAGCTGACGATACCGCACAAAAACTGGAAGAAATAAGGAATGTAACGGGCGAAGATCTTGGCTGCCCACAGACTGACCCAGACGATCTCAATCCAAGTAAAAAACCAGTAGATATGCACACCGCCAATTTTGGCATTCGGCGCAACGGTAGCGCCCACAATGATCGGAATCGCGATCAAAATCGCAATGGGAAGAACATAAATCAAGTAACGAGTGATGAGGGAGTAATTCAGGACAGCTTGGTAGAAACGGCCCATACGGTTGATAGTGCCGTCCTCGGGCGACTCAGCCGGCTTTCCGGACAATTCATTGATATCGGTATCGGTGCGACGCCTGCCGCCAGGACCACGCTGATGGTTGCCAATGATAGGTTCCTTCTCCGTGGTCTGCGAGATACCGTCCTGGGGGCTAGTGTTCGTGTTCCATTTACGGGCGCCCGTTTGACCACGCGAAGTGGTCTCCGTCAGAGGGATATCAATAGTCACGTCATTGGGATTCAACATCCCATTGCCATGGTCTGGCATGTCGGGTAGCTGCTCGAATCGGTGAGCCGTCAGTCGCCTGGTAGAAAGACTCGAACCTCCCATCGCAAGGAGCTCGGAGGGCAAGCAGGGCCTTTATTGAGTCAATGCAGATCGGCCCCTAAACTAATGGGTTCGATTGCGGAGGCTTTCGTGCGTATGGTGGAGACTCGCGAAAAAAAATAGTCCCGTTATAGTACACCAATGGGTGGTAACCCTGTTGTTTTTCGCCTCCCCCTCGCCGGGTGAACCAAAAACTTCCGCGGCCGCACTTTTTTTCACGCGACAGCGGTCAAGTTATGGGTGGCTATGATTCCCGGACCAGTGTGCGTAGAACTTCGGTAGTCGATCGTTCAATGTCAATGGTCAGGACGTAGGTGGAGATGTGGATCGGCGAATTGGGTGCGTTAATGAAAGATCAACCAAAAGCCGTCAAAGTACATATGTACAATAAACGAATGACTAAATCCAAGAGAATGTCAAGTGCAAGAGAGTGTGTGTAAGAAAGAAGAGCAAGTGTTAAAGTAGAAAACGCGAATTCATGGACACATCCAACGGACATGCCGTGTTTCAGCAGGACCCGTTGGGGGGGAACGGGCAAAAATGTGAGACCGCCTTCTTCCCCCCCTGTGGAATCCTTCCAGCCTCATCATTCGTTGTTTTTCTCTTAGTCCGTGTCCTTATATTACCGATCGACTCTAGACTATTGAAGACCCTCTTCTCCATTTCGCCTTATACATACTCCCCTGTAATACTACTCCGTACTTACAAAGTACGAAGACTCCTCAAACAGGACCGTGAACGCGAGTTTCCACATGCAGGTCCACTACCACCCCACATCTCGATGTGTCTGATCGTCCAATGAGCACCTCACATCAGCGGGTGGCTTGAGATCAAACACACCCTACGGAGTATTTGGTTAGCCAACGGGGAAGGAGGACACAAGGCTGATTCTAGATGCATCAGACCTAATAATATTATTTAATTTATCCTGGACCGCAGGGGGTGGTCAAAAATACCCAACCCCAATTTCACGCCCGCGAGTCAAGATGCATCTTTTCCAGCGCAGCAACAACCCGCTTCCTATCCCAACCACCTTCCAACCCCCGCACAACAATATCCTGCTCACTCTCCGGTGCCATTCCACTCAGGGCTGGTGGTCTCTGATCCAAATTCGTCGGGAAAGGATAACCCTCGGCAACAGCTTGCACAAAGGCCCTAATCTCCATCTGCTGCAACGAATGGGTCTCAGGACCAAGTTCCTGTCCCGCCAAAACCCCGCCAGCAGCCCGGAACCGCTCAACCAGTAAATCCCAAGTGGCATCAACAAGCGGCACCGAATCAACTGTCTCCATAGGCTTTCCAAACGCACTACTTATCTGCAGCAAGTTCGCAACCCGTCTGAACCCCCCATTCTCAGGATCCATCTGATTGGCCCCAGCAGCATGGAAAAGCGCCGGATTGAAAAACAACCCGTCTCCAAAACTCAACGGAAGCGCAACATAACTCTCCTGAAAGAATGCGCGGAACTCAGGCTTTCGCCACGCCAGATACCCAGACTTGTATGTCTGACTAAAAGGTAGGAAGCGTGTTGGCCCGCTAGCGACAGGCATATCCGTATGCGCGACAGCTCCCTGCAGCGTTAGGAACTGCGATGTTAGCTGCGTCGCAGCCGGGTAGCGCTTGCATGCTACTTCCTCCTGGAAGCCGAGGTGGTAATCGCGGTGTGCTTCCTGTGCCGCGCCGCCCGGGTGCACTGCGTTGACTTGGGCAGTCACACGGTAGGCCGGACCCAGCCAGGACTCAGCGACTGCTGCCAGCCATGGGTTTGAGTAGTAGTCGATGAAGGAGGGTGGGTCTTGGAGGGCGTGTTTTGAGAAGGAGTTCCAGATGCGGTCATTTGTGCCGCCTACAGCGAAGTGGTCTCCTTTCTTGTTTGATTGTGCGGCTTCGCGGGCGATGATTGCGTTGAAGGCGGTGTTTGTGGTGTTCAGGGTTGTTGAGTATTTTGTGGGTGCGTACATAGATCGTAGCACGTAGACGCCTGGGCCTGTGTGGAGGATGTGATGCCATTCATCTTGGAGACGATTAATTAGGTCTGAGGTTAGGCCTGTGGATTCGAGGGCGGAGAGGTCGTAGATGGGGATGTTAGATTGGACTTCGCAGGCTAGTGGGTAGGTTGCTGGGTTTGTGGTTTGCGAGCAGATGTCTTTGAACTCGGGGAGTTGGGGGGTGGAGGGGGAGTAGAGACGAGATGTAACTCCGTGGCCGTTCATTATTGCGTATATCTATCGGAATCCAACATATATTAGGGGAATGTATGTGTATTTTTCCTAATTGATGCCTTCGGTAAATCGTTTAAATATTTTTCGGGCGGAAACCAATGTCCATCGGGCTCCCCGCATTGAGGTCGGACATACGGAGTGGAGAACGGAGTACTGGACATCAAATTGCGACTCGGGAAATGGTTTCCGTTACAGGTGAGAAGTTTCGAGAGAAAAAAAAATAAGAGAGAAAGAATAGCAAAAAGAGTTCTAGACCTAGATGGGTATCACAGCTATCAAGCAGTATAGTACAGGTCTACCGCTACCACTGAAGCACAAAAACAAAAAAGAAGCCAAATAAACCATTCGGTCCTCCCGGACGCCAAAAAGCAACAGGAGAACGCCGAGCACAGGAAAGCCTTGCCTTGTAAGAGAGGCAAACCCCCATGCATAAAATAAGTGGCATCCGTGTTGTGCCTGTTTCATAAGATCCAAATATTCCCAACCCACGCAAATCTATGCTTGAATTTCAAAAACGTCTTTTTTAGCCAAAAGCAGGAGCAGAAAAGAATTTCGTAAACGGTGCGTGACTGGGCACTGGGCACCCGTGGCAATTCATGCATTCATCATGACCGCTCCGAGATCCGATGTGAGGACCGATTCGGACGGCGTGGGTTGGTTGGATTTGTTGGATTCGTTGAGGATGAGTGTGTGTTCAGACATCGTCTCAACGAGGGCACTCGGTCTTCCGGTAACGGTGAAGAGGACCTTCATAAGGAGAGTAGGGCCTTGCCCGTTGAGACCGCCTTGGGGTTGGCGCCGGGTGTGGGTGAGCAGCACACAGACCAATTCGCGGATCGCTCCGTCAGTAGACGGATTGTGGATGGCGTCTAGACCGTCGATTATAAAAACCAGCAATGGTGGGGCGGATTGTAAGAGGGTATCGACTAGCGATAGAGCGGCTTTCCAGCTGGTGAGCGTTCCGTCTAGTTGGCGAAACCGCTCGGCGCTGAGATCCAGTACAGCGTCGCTGTCGACTACAGGAGGAAGCCAGTTGATTAATTGCCGGATAATACTGTAGGTGAGGGCAATTAAGCCTTGCTCGTGTAGATTCAGCCCTTTGGCCTCCTGGCTAGGAAGGGTGCAAAAATGAGAGACGACAGGCAATCGAGCTTGACGTGCGAAGGAGGCATAGCAGGCTGAAATTAGAGCCACTGGGTCGAGGGAAGCGGTAGGTTGAGTCCCGCCCACGGCTAGGGCCTGAGATCGCGAACTGGTGGCCCACTGTTGTAGAGATGCAACGATACTACCCTCGGCGACGACCTTGACATCGGATTCATAGTCGCAAATCTGATCATCACTATCGAAGAAGTCTTGGAGGTGCTTGGATGAGCTTTGAATCTCAAGTCGTGCGAGGCGGCGCTTGGATCCCCTCGACCATTCGAAAGAAGATGTGTCTATCAAAATTGGGTTAGATGGGTGGATCGAGCTGTAAAATGCGTATGCCTTCCTACCTATATTTGGGGCTGGAGGCGTGGTTATGCAAACGATGCCACTGCTCTGTTCATTGACCGGCTGTAGTTGTTCACGCACAGAACTCAATGTCTCTGCCAACAACCGATCCCGACCCTCCCTATACCGATTACGCTCCTCTGCGTCTTGCTGAATCTCCCAGATGAGTCGACGAGTGATGGTATTTTGTGCCGCTATCCGACGATCCTTTCCCCGGCGTCCTACTTGGCTGAGTCGAGATTCCTCCCACAGTGCCCGAGGGCTATACGGGTCCTCCTCTTCATCGTCGACGTCCATGACCGCATGTTGCCATGGAAAATTCTGTGCTTGCAGTTGTATATAGATGACCAGATGATGAAATTCGGAGTACACATCCTGGCTATGCATGTTCAGCAACTGGCACGTGGACCTCCGAACATACCAGTCCATGAATTCGGTCAAAAAGAAGAATATTAGAGTGTAGGTTTTCGTAATATGTTGGACGGCGCTTGAGATTAGGCTAGGATCACTAGGGAGACCTAGAGCATCGTGAATATTTAGCAAGGCAGTAGCTAAGCCTTCCATTACCCGTGGATAATGTGACGACGCCTGACCCGTACGTTAGCAAATGGGAGGAGACACGTGTGTATAAACGGACCACGCACCTTAATCACTGACTGGACGACTCCATAGAATAAGGGGCTATAGGCCATATGGTCCGGCAGAGTAGAAAGAAGGGTCGCGTGAGTGTCCACCGTCGGAAGGAGTCGATCGCACAGGTCCATGGAGTCGCTAAAGACCCGTGGTCGGGGACGAGACATCCAGAATGTCTTGATGTTGCCGAGTAAGGTCTTCACGTCGAGTACCGTCTGTGGTCGCTCCTCCCATTGAACCTGATCCTGGGGTAGGAGGAGGCTGATAAACCGTTTCCAAGTGTGGGCTAACTCATTCCGTTCGATATCGAGTTCGGCGATGGCGGGGGTCCTAGGAAAGGATACGGGGTTAGAGGACACTTAAGAGGGTTCAGACTATAGATGGCATCCTAGGTCATCGCTCATTCCCCGGAAGGTCTATGGAAAGGGCTTACGGGGAGATTGGCTTCCCGTCAAAGCGGTGTTGCCAGGCCCGGCTCGGGATGGCAGTCTCGGGCATGATGCTGCCCACGGAGTTGATGAAGGCAAATCAGGTCCTCTTTTCACGACATGTCCTAAAAAGGAGATGCGAGTTGATGACGGGGAAAAAATGGAGAAGGATGGGGAAGGAAGAATTGAACTTTGTGAAGGGCGGGTTTTGCCGCTCAGAGAGGGGGACGAAGCTAAAAATGAGAGAAGAGAGAGAGAGAGAGAGAGATGTTTCTATTAATACATATACTGTGGTTTTTTGTTTTATTTTTTTACTACGTTCTATCTTTTCTGATATTAAGGTGATCTAGAGCTGTCTTATCCGACTTTATTTCACTTTATTTCACTTTATTTACACTGTGTTTCTCTTGTCTTGTTTTTTTCGTTCTTTTGTTTTTTCTTTTTTTTTTTTTTTTTTTTTTTTTTTGGGTTTTTTGTTTTTTTCCCACAGTGATATACGGAGGTACTAACAAATGCACTCCGGGCCTGATGAGAGCCGAGGCCCTACTCTTTTCGCCACTATGAGAACCCTGATTTAGGAGAAATATTGGTTAGTAGGATTAAGATCACACGATACGGAGTATAGAATGTAGAATTATAAGTACGGAGTATAAGTGTATCATTATATAGATTTCTATCAGATACTAATAAAGCGGGGACTTAAACTAGAACACAACTTTACTTAAAACATGTCTCCCCGGGTGTTCGCCTCTCCAGATTTCGTTCTCGGCCTGGACACTGGACACTGAACATCAAAGAACTTAATAAGGTTTTGGTCCTTTTGAGTGGTCCTTTTGTGAGAGACCCCCTCTTCTTCTTTGCTTTTTTGGGGTTTCCTTTCTGTCTCTTTTCTTTTGTGGGTCAAAATACATGGGGTGCATCGATTTAATAGGTATCTGTGGGGGAAGCGTTGATCGTGGAACAATAATCCTAGAGCTGAAGAAGTCTATTGAAGGTGTCAGATCAGTATGTCAGATCAGACCATGGGGATGATCAAGTTAAATCTCTCATGTCGGGGGGGGGGGGTTGGAAGTGGGAAATAAAAAGCAAAGAGCCCAAGACGTAAAAAAAGTAAGACAATGAACGGAAGTCCGGGATTTTTAATCGGCAAGTTGGGCGAATCGGCCGAATACGAGAACGATGCTTGGTGCATCATAGAAGGATCTACCCTTACTTGAGGGTAAGTTTAGCGATGACGTTCACAATGTGATAGATGTAGTGTGATCGTCAATGGGCATTATCACATTCGATAGTCAATTCAAGTACGGAGTACGAGATAAAAGATACATCATGCCATATCTACAACGTATCTATACGACACGAAGTACTCCGTACTCTGTAGAGAAAGTACATACATGTAGTTATGTATAAAGTACTCCGTACAAAGTACATAATTTATCTGAATAAATATAATCATGTAATCCAATAATCCAATAATCCAATAATCTACTTCATAATAGTCGAAATAATTGAAATAATCCAATTTATAATAAAAAAAAAAGAAATCTTCTAATCTCCCTCTTATCCGCTTGGATCCCCCCAGTTAGGGCCGATCCTCTCCCCTCATTTTCTACTTTTCCCGGTTTCTCTTCTTTTTGTATGATCCATTTTGACTAATGTGACCCCCACATTATTTCTTCGATTCCGCCGTCTCCCGCATAATGGGGCTGTTTCTTTTCTTTCTCTTGTTCTTCTCAGTTCAAGCAGAGGTTGTCTCGCTACCATCAAATACTACAATCCAAATTCAATCCACTGGGTTTCAAATTGAGGGTGGCAATTTGACTGGCCAGAAGCTTGTCCCCTTAGCTGAGTCGCTGATTCAATCAACCACGGCCCAACTCAAGGTGCTATACGCATACGCATACGCTCGAAATATTGGGGCATTGCTGACATCTACCAGTCCTTTAATGTTTCTGGCACTGCCACTCAAGTCATCCCAAGCAATTCCCTCGATTTAAAGAGCTCGCAAATCGCTTGCATATCCTGCGACCAGGAGGACTATACCGGAAATATCCGAGTTGACGAGACAATTGAATACGTCACTTCTGCTCAATCCGCTGCAGCCATTCTGCTATACAGCAAAACAGCTACCGGCTGCAATTTCACTTCCGATGATCAGACCGTCGCACGCTATCCCAATATCTTCACATTCACAAGCCAAGCCGGGTATTCTGCACTCCTCAGTGCTTTCGATAAACCAACAACTATCAGTATCGTCTCAATGTCGTATCTCTCAGCTGTTCCTTCCGATGGTGACCCAGGTGGCTCTGGTGATAGTCCCAACACAGGTTCGCATCCCGACTCCTCTACCTTGTCCAGTCCATTAACGTTCTCCCCCAGCCATGATCATCCTGTACAGTATCACGGGTATCATTACCGCCCTATTCCTGGGTATTATCATCACGGGTGCCGTCCGGGCTCATCGCCATCCAGAGCGATACGGCCCTCGCCGAATTGCCGGGCGAGTCCGGCAAAGCCGAGCCCGAGGTATAGCTCGAGCCATGTTAGACACTATACCGGTGGTCAAGTTTGATGACAAAAACGATGACGTGGAGGCTGCCAAAAGAGACGTTGAAATGTCTATGGGCTCTGAGGATGCTGCTCGCGAGCACTCCCAACACCAGGCCGATGGAAATACGGGCGTATCGACGCCCCACGAGTCCGAAATGCCAACCCCAGATGATAACGAGCGCCCCACTGCCACAGCCCCCGAAGCCAAGACCGACATGCCTGAGGCAGGTAACTTCTCGTGTCCGATTTGCACAGATGACTTCATCAAGGGCCAAGACCTACGTGTCCTACCCTGTAATCACCAATTCCACATGGAATGCATTGATCCATGGTTGATGAACGTGTCTGGCACCTGTCCCCTTTGGTAGGTTTTATTTAATATTGATATTGATATTGATTTTGATATCAAACATATCAACTTCCATACATGAACCAAACTAACCATATCACAGTCGCATTGACCTCAACCCACCCCAGCCCGAAAACCCGGAACAAACTGAAGAAAACACCGACCAAGCCGACCAAGCCGACCAACCCACAGAAGGCGGACCCGTCCTAACAACAGAAGAGGCCCGCCAGCAAGCCCGCCAGCAAGCCCGCCACACGCATCGCCGTCTAACCAACTACCTCCATGGACCCCTTAACGCCCGACGAATGCGCGATGCCACCGTCGAGGAGCGCATTGCGGCACTCCGACGCGTCCGCGAAGCAAACCAAGGCGAGTCTGCGCCCGAGGAAGGATCACGTCGTGGTCTGACCACCCGTCTACGCGACCGCTTCCGTATCCGAACACGCGCTCACGGTGCTGAGGCTGAGTCTTCCGCTGATGCCGACAATGCTGCGCCTTCTCCGGCGGCTCCGGCGCCCGTCCATCTCACGCCGTCTACTGCATGATGATTCACTCCTTTACATATCACTCCTTTTATGTTTTGCATATATTTTCGATTTACGATTCAGATGATTTCAGGTCCTCGGTAGGAGGCTACATGGCGTTTGCTTTTTTATGGGTTATGATATTTATTTTTTTTTCGTGTTTACTTTATGGATTGTTTGAAAGAGCATTGGCGTTTTCTTTGAATGGGGGTTGAAGGAAAAGAGAGACTGGTTTTCTCAGTGACTTATCTGTATCTGCTGGTTTCTTCTCTGCATATACTTTCCTGTATATCATGAATTTAGGGTCACATACATATCAATTTACATACATTTGAGTTTAGGTGCATATATCTAGATAGAGATATATTTCTATCACGAGGACAGGAGGTCTAGACTCGGATCCATGGATTGATATTCATCCGCATCATCGATTTACGAGCTATCATCCTATTTGTCGTCAAATATTCTTACAAATATAGTTGAGGCTGTGCCAGGTCAGCAGGGAGCAGTACCATGGGTTCCGCGGCTTTATCTCGAGAACCAATATCAGATCATATCACTTATCTTCTAACGTTCCCGAGGTCATTATGAAATATGCATAAGACCTTACTAAAGCTCATAACCCGGGAAGACTATAACATACCCATGATGTTAAAGATCGCCAGGCACGAGTTACCTTCTGACCGATTGGCTGATATCGGGATGATTGCATCAGCGGCTGACATAAAATCTGGTTTCACCCGATGAAGTATATCCGGTGTGGAGTACGTGAGGGATACATTATTACTTAGATCTCTCTAGATACATATTAATTACGTTCATAAACTAGCATAATAACGCTCTGATGATATATTATCTCTACTTTGTGGGGGAATGGAATCGGAGAAAGTCCGCCCTAATTGTTAATCCCCAAGTTCTTTGCTTATTTCTCCGTCCCGGGATCCTCCTGAGTTATTTTCGTCCCCTCACAAGTGTGGGGGAATGACACATACCCATATGGAGTTACCATATGGAGTTCTAGAATTGCTTGGAAGAGGGAAAGGGTCTTACGTGTGCAGAATTGAACACTCCGACACTATTACTGTAGTACACATATGCCAAGTGTAATTGATAATATAGAACTCCGGTCTCCGTACGGACAAAGACATACAAACCCCTGAGCCGAGACTTATCATGCAACAAGCTTGGCCTTCCAGAAGGGTCCCCACATTGCGTCTTTTTCCGTCGGCGTTGTATGACACACTGTTTCTCGTCGGCGGGTGTAGCCTGTCGGAGAGGGGAATATGTTGGAGATTTCAATCCGGGGGTTATTTTGATTTGTACTTGTATTGTGTGTGACTATAGAATAACTTATAATTCATGGTTATATTCTACAGTTGTAGATATACTAGCATGTGAAGTCTAACGAGAAAGATACCGCAAGTCGTCCCTCGGTATCTTGTGCGCCGAGGATATAGAGCTAGATAAATATAAGAGAGACATAAAAGACTAAAATACTTCATCGTATGTACAACATACAATAATTCTTTCAGATTACAAAACAGCGCGTGCTGATTCCCGCAAAACAAACCCCACCCCCTCACTCCATTCCGGTGAACGCAAGCAGGAATATCCCGTTTCGGTGTCGGATTCCGGGGAAAAAAACTTACGTTGGATATTCTCGGTTATATAATTTCACCATGACTTCGATTCAATCCGCAAGAGATCGTCTTTCCTCCCTATCATCACACATCATGGGTTCCTCTAATCCCTCAGTATTTACCGCGGCCACTGTGGCTGCCGCACCCGAAGATCCTTTGTTCGGTCTTATGAAGGCGTATCGTGAAGACCCCTCCGATAAGAAGGTTGATCTGGGCATTGGTGCCTACCGCGACAACAACGCAAAGCCCTGGATTCTGCCTGTTGTCAAGAAGGTAATATCCATACTTCTTCTATTCTTCTATCCCTCCAGAGCTCACATTTATCTAACATCAACATCTGTAGGCCGATGACGCCATCCACAACGATCCCACCCTCAACCACGAATACCTCTCCATCGGTGGTCTCGCAGAGTTCACCTCCGCAGCCCAGAAGCTGATCGTCGGCGCAGACAGCCCTGCAATTAGCGAAAAACGAGTACGTACCTCTGTCCTTCCAAATACCTTCCAATACCCCGCCCCCGCCTCCACAAAACCAAACTAACCCTCCCCCACTAGATCTGCACCTTGCAAACCATCTCAGGCACCGGCGCCGTCCACCTCGGCGGCCTCTTCCTCTCGAAATTCCACCCCCAAAAGCCCGCAATCTACCTCTCCAACCCAACATGGGCAAACCACAACCAAATCTTCACAAACGTCGGCCTAACCCTCGCAAAGTACCCCTACTTCTCCGTCAAGACGAAAGGCCTTGACTTCACCGGCATGATCGCAGCCCTAGAAGCCGCCCCCCAAGGCTCCGTAATCCTTCTCCACGCTTGCGCACACAACCCAACAGGTGTCGACCCCACCGAAGACCAATGGAAGCAAATCGCCGACCTGATGCGCGCCCGCTCCCACTTCCCCTTCTTCGACACTGCCTACCAAGGCTTCGCATCCGGCGATCTGGTCCGCGACTCCTGGGCCATCCGCTACTTCGTCGAGCAGGGCTTCGAGCTATGCGTTGCGCAGTCTTTCGCTAAGAACTTCGGTCTCTACGGTGAGCGCACGGGAGCGTTCCACTTCGTCTCCGCGCCTGGTCCGGATGCGGCTGCTGCGTCCGCGCACATCGCGTCCCAGCTTGCTATTCTGCAGCGTTCGGAGATCTCCAACCCGCCTGCGTACGGTGCGCGTATCGCTAGTCGCGTACTGAATGATCCTGAGCTCTTCAAAGAGTGGGAGGCAGATCTGCGCACGATGAGTGGTCGCATTTTGGAGATGAGACAGGGTTTACGGCAACGTCTTGAGAAGCGTGGTACGCCTGGTTCGTGGGATCATATTACTTCGCAGATTGGAATGTTCAGTTTCACTGGTCTGTCTGAAGAGCAGGTTATGACGCTGCGCTCTAAGTGGCATGTTTACATGGTATGTTTTTTCTTTCTTTCTTGTTGGTGTATTGGTTATATGTTGTCTGGGATTGTGGTTGCTAACTCTCTTTTTCCCTATAGACAAAGAACGGCCGCATCTCCATGGCCGGCTTGAACACGAATAACATTGACTACTTCGCTGAGGCGGTTGATAGTGTTGTTCGTGACTCTGCTAAGTTGTGATACCTACCTGATACCCCGGTCTTGACATAGAGTGGAAACGCTCGATGAGACTTGGTTTGGCGTTCTATTTGCTTTTGGAACTCAAGCTTTTTTTTTTGTGAAAGTTTGGAAGGACTTTCATGACGCATCAATTCACCATACTTTGAGACTTCGGTCTTGGTTTCGCATTTCTCGTTCCCTTCGATAGACCTCGTGGGTCTGGGTTTGCATTTACGTAGTATCACATGCATAACACGCATGACATATAAATCATAGGTATATGTATAGCATTGCGGCATTGAAAATTGTTGTGGTATTATTTTATTCGATGGTCTGCAGGAAGTATAAATCCAAACAGCCAAACAAGAGCTACCACGTCCTACAACATAGGTGAGCAAGAGACCTTGAGATAATATGCTACATTTCAATGTAATAGACATATGGTATCTGGTATCGTATAAAAATGCATCCTGAAGCTCATGAGATATTACCTGTCCAGCAGTATGGGGACTAAAAGACCAAATCCCACACCACAAGCCAGGTACACAACCCAACAGTACCCCAGAAGACAGCCTGCGCCGTACTCCGTCGCTCCGTAGCACGCTTCAGCTCACGATTTCCCTGCCCAACATTCGTCTGCGTGGTATCCACGTCCGAGATAAGCTGAGAAATATGTTCTTCCTGCGTAGCGAGGTGAGAGACAAGTGTTTCTTGCAAAGAGGAGATCTCAAGGAGAGATTTCTCGGCGTTTCTAAAAGAGCACATCATTAGCACCATCCCCCAAACCCAGCAATCAAAGAGAAACATACTGGACCTTCCCCAACGTATCCTCATAATGCCTAAGCATAGAATCATTCTCCTCAGCAAAAAGCTGCAACTGCTCTGGGGAAAGCTGCGCCTCGATCCGAGCCGTATCCGCCTCACTCAGAACCGCCGCATCAGGCGCTTGGAAAGTAGGATCGAACGAACCCCCACCCGTAACTCCAGCTCCAGCTCCAGCTCCAGTCCTCTCCGACACAGAAACAGACACCTTCCTCCCCCCATTCCCACTACCACCAGCAGTCTTCCCCGCAGCAACCTTATAAAGCACACTCTTCTCCTTCTCGCGAACCCTCTCAATCCTCTTCTCCACCATCCGACGCTGCACACCAACAGCACTCTCAAGCCCGCGACGCAGAAACCAAAGCACGCTTTCGCGGATAGTTGCTAACGACCGCGCGCTCTCCTCTGCCTGCACCTGCTCAGCGGATTTACCCTCATTGTCGTCGCTGGTGCTGTCTAGTGCGCCGCTTCCACCGGCCCAGCGCCAGAGGAGGGCTCCTGCGGCGGAGTGGCCGTATTTCTTGTGGAGGAGGGTGGAGGATGTTTCTTGGCGGAGGGATTCGGCGGAGGAGAGGTTTGCGATTGAGGTTGCTAGGTCGCGGAGGAGGAGAGCTGTTGATGTGTCGACTGCGTCACGTTCGGGGTCTGTGAGGTTTGTTTGTGTGGTTGGGGGCGCATTTTTGGGGTTGGGGGTGCTTGTGTTTTGGTTGCGGCGTTGTGGTTGCGTTGTTGAGAGGTAGGCGTGACGGATTGATTGGAGGTATTGGAGGAGGGAGTGGATGTGTGAGTTCTGGGCTTTTTGTTAGATTTTGTTTCTGGTTTGTTGGGGTTTGGTATAGTGGGTGTGAATGAGTGCGGAGGGCATGGCTTACGATTCGGTATGCCTCCTTTAAGAACTCGTCGGCGGTTTCTGTACAGGGTTTTCTGGCTTGCGGGACTGATGAGCCTTGCTTTGAAAGCAGGTTGTTGAGGGTTGGTGTTAAGTCGGTCATTGTGGGAGTGGCATGGTCTGAAATGTGTGTAGTGTCGCTATACAACTGTACACTTGTCGATCAACATTCAACGTCACTGCGCGGGTGGTCTTTCCCGCACCCCGTATTTGTTTGTGCCCGGGGTATGAGTTGTACAGAGATGGGATGAGGAATGTCACTAACTATATAAACTGTCCTTGGCATTTCGTTCTCGTACTCTTCATCATGCAACTCATCATTTCTCAAGTGGTATTGTATCCATACAGAACCAACCCATCTATCTAACCAATCTACTACACTTCCTACACCACATCCATCCACAATGGAGGATGCCCAAGTTCACCTCTTGCGAGTCTCTCCTGGAGGTCCAGATGGTGACGGTACCCTTTTAGTCATGGTAAGCGACAAGCGTATGTCCAATGAAGAAATGCAAGAGGTTGCCTCAAACCACGACCACATTATCGGTTTCGCCTTCCCCCCACGCGCTGGCTCAGACTGCGACTATGAGATCCACCTCTGGCACCCATTCTATGAACTAGATAAGTGTGCCCATGCAATGATCGGAACTGTGTGGCTCCTGTCGAAGCTTGGAAAGATGTCGAGGAACGACCTCCGCATCCGGAGTAAGAACGGTCGTGTTGAAGCGATGATCACGAAGACTGCAGACAAAGACAGCACCTGGGTTGAATTCTCCTACCCGATTTGTTCAGTCATGGAGGAGGTGCCTCAAAACCACATCAACGCCATACTGTCTCAGTTGGAGATTGATGGAGATGACATAACACCTAGAATACAAGTCCGGAATGCTGGCACGAACAAAATAGTAAAGACGATGATTCCGATCATATCGATTGCAAAGTTGAATGAGTTGGACCTGGAATATCCTCTCAGCAAAAAGCTTCTTGAAAAGATTAAAAGCAATGGTTTGTGCCTGTATGCTGCCGACGACCACAACCCGCATGAATACGAAGTGAGGCAGATCCCTAAACATGCTGGAGATTGGGAGGATACTGCGACTGCTTTGGCTATTGCGATCATGCTAAATGGCACGATCTTCGACCCTAACCAGAGACTTAAGATTAGACAGCGTTTGGACGAGGACCGTTATCGTGAGATGGATTTGAGGTTTAAGCTATGGGGAGGTAACGTTGTGGGCTGTTGGATTGGAGGCACTGCCGAGTTTGAGACGGAGAAGGGAGAGACCAGAAAGACAAAGTATTGGGAGACTGATACTGAATAGGAGACTGGAGAGACACGGAGTAATTTTATTATGGACATCTAGCTAACGCCTGAAGCAAGTCTGAATTGAAACACATTGACACATATGAACACATTGCCTAGCCGGTTAATTCTAGATCCTTGAGGATATTTACATTATATCATAGAGGATGACCAAGCTAGGGAATGATGGACATAAAATAAGAGTCTGATATAGCCCATCCTTGTAGTTGTCATGCACAAGCCCCCAAGTGGCGACAACCCTGCAGGCTAGAGACTAGCATCACATACTACTCTTGATAGGTCATAGACACATCCTTTGACAAGGATCTGAAATTCGAGACAAAGTCTAAGCGTAAATCAACTTGCGATTGGCGGAAACTACCATGTTTATACCTCTAACATTAAACGTATCGTTTCGTGGCAGACAAGGAATCAGCCAGGTTTCAGATATGCCGGCCAGACGTCACCTCAGTGACACAGCTTGGTACTTTGCCTCTATTGTATCAGATATATTTCTTACTTAAAGGCGAGTTTACCTTTATTTTCTACCATAAAATCCAATAATTCCATCTTCCATCATACACACATCCAAAATGGTGCGTCCATCTCAGAACAGGCATTCAGCAGCAACATCTACCGAACTGCCCACCCTACACTCCCCTCCATCTATCACACGATCAATCACTTCATACTCCATGCCTCGCCAAAAAGATCCGCTAGTGTCGAGCTTTGGCAATGCCACAGATGCCACAAATGACCAAATCCGCGACTACCACCACCAAGTCAAAGCAACTCTCACAAACATCCTCAATGACGACCGAGTGAAGCACGATCCTAGAGGAACCCGCTGTGTGCAGAAGATACTGTTGGAAAATGAGCAGGATATGCGGAAACAACGGAGACATTCGCTTAGTACATGTACATGTGCTGCGAAGCGAACGATGCCATTTTGAATGTACCATTAGTACAATAATCAACGCTCATGCCTTTATTCAATTTCCACCATGGCAAAGGGTGTAAGGAGATCACTCCATCTCGGCAATAGACCTCTCAACACCCCCAATCTTATGCCGTCTCAAGCGAAGCTTCTTCCTGGTTTAAGTAGTAGACAATCCTACCTACCTACGACGCTCTCTCAAGTGTAAACGCAAATTATAAGAAAATTACATTAACATTTCTCATGCATTGGACGTATTTTCATGCTAAATACGCAAATCAGGGTATAGACAAAATCATGCTAATATCAACAGAGAAAGAAAATCCAGTCATGCATCAAATCATCGAACGCTCTTCCACCCATATCTAAAGAACAAAACCAGTCAGGAAAAAACGATTCTCGAAAAAAAAAAGGGATCCAGGACAGATAAACTCACCTCGATCTTCCCCATCTCACTTCCCTCCCGTCGAGCAACCTCCTTCGCCGAACTAACTAGCAAATCCAGATCTTCCTGGTCGACCATGGTAATCATATCCCCATCATCCTGCACCTTCATCTTCAGAGGACACTTGAACCCGAACTTCTCCCGAATCCGGTTCTCAAATTCCCCAAACTCAATCGTCGGCCCGATCATGATATACCTCGTATCATCAGGAGCGTGTACTTTAACTCTAAATTTCTGTGTCTCCGGTCTTCGCGGATTCGCATGACGGGAGTACCGTGTCGGAGAACGAGTACGGCGTTGTTGCGCTGACTGGCTCGGTCCAGCCGGTGGAGCAGCGACGAGCTCGAAAGCGCCGTCATTGAGGGTTGTCGCGTCGTATGCGTCGCTGTTATACTCTTCTGCTTCGTCGATGTATTGGGGTGGTTGGTGGCGGGATCCGCGGCCCCAGCCTGCGTTTGCTAGATTGCGCTGGCTTGAGTACGGCTCTGTGTGGCCGTAGTCTGGTTCCGGTGCGTAATTTGTCTTTGGGTTTATGTCACTGAGATTTCTGCGGTGGCCGGCTTGTTCGCGGGACGAGCTGCCTCGACTGCTGCTTTCTGGTGTGTATCCGCGCGTGCTGTTCTGTCGTGAGGATGGTCCGCGCGGCTCGGAGGCTGTTCGCGTAGTTCCTATCCGGGGCTTCTCGGTGGATGGTTGTTCTGGGGGACAGGGTCGGCGGTCTAGACTGGCGCCTGCGCGATCTAGGTCGAGACGTGGTGGACGGACGGTTCGGAGAGATGATGTTCGGTGGTGGCCGGATGCTGATCCTGATCCGGATGCTGTGCTGACGGATCTGTCGTCTGGTGGTGGTGTTGGGGGGAATACGTTGCGGTTCAGGGGTGGCTCGGATTGTTGGCGGGTGCGACTGCTGAGGTTTTGGCGGACTAGGTGGGATGCGGCGAAGGAGACGCCTTCGCGTCCTTGGAGGGCTTCTTTATCGACGGGCATTGGATTCCATTGGTGGTCTGATGATTGGTTGCGGTCCGATGCGGCAACTAATCGAGCCTTGCCTAGGTAGTCTTTTGTCTTGAGATTCTTGACTTTGGCTGCGTTGGGGCGATAGAGAACTCCCACTGGAATTGAGAAGACGGTATAGCCCTATATCTAAATTAGCTTTCATCGCAGTGGGTTAGTAGAGTCTACATACATCTGCATTCTCGCGAATGGCATCGTCAATCACATCGTGGTCCGGGGTAACCTTTTCCTTGGCTGCATACTCGAGGTCCTGTATGCCTGGGTTCATTTGTCGGAGGTAGATATAGCAGAGACCGCGATTGAATAGGACTTCGCATGAAAAGAGGCGGAATTGAAGACCTAATTGTTCATAGTCGATGGAAGTGTTTCCTCGCAGATACAGCAAGGTGTCATTAAAGTTGGCTAACGCTTCTTCAAAGTCCCCGATCAAGAAATTAGATACACCTTGCTGGAAGTAAGCGATTGCTAGATACTGGTCTAGGCCGACAGCACGTTGGTAGCATTCTACCTGTACCAAAATCAATCAGCTGTTGGGGAAAACATCTCATCAGTTCACTTACTGCTTTATGATGCTCGCCTAGGGTTGCATATATCACTCCACAATTGAACAAGATCTTTGATGTGTCGGCAATCTGATCGAAGCACCGCAGGGACTCGTTGAATTCTTGATTGTCATAGGCATCGAGGGCTTGCACCCATGTTTCGATTTCCTTTTGGACCCCAATGTCAGTATGCGTAATGTTCCGAGTTCACATCAGATTTACTTACTTGTTTGAGCGACATTGTCGTGGAATCTATTAAATTATTGACCCGAGTCTCCTGTGCCTAGATGATATAGATTGGGGAAAGCCTTTGTCGGTACTTTCCATCCAACTCTCTAGGGCACGGTAATATTTCCGTAGAAGCCGCCAGTTTGTCGTGGGCTCACCAGCGCAAAGCCGGGAAAGCGCAGGTAATATAATCGGCACCAATAGCCAAGGACTCAGTCGGTGTGACGAAAAAACCTTAGGGTTGATAGTTAAAAGGGGCCAAGAACAACCTGATGGGGCGGAACGAGCTGCGGGGAGTAGGACCGGCGGATTGGCGGGTTGAAGTCCAATAATTCCGTGTGATATCCCGAGATTGACGTGAAAAGGCTGGGATATCAGTTGGAAATGTTATTTATAGAAATATCATCACTTCCAAAATCGGTGATATCAGATACAATTGAGGAAGTAATTGGTTTAACCTCTTTGACGGTTGGAGAGTGGAGATGAGGGGGTGACCCAGCAACTTGGACAGAAGGATTGTAGGGGTTTAGCGGGATAAGGAGGGTAAGGGGGGGGAAAAGAAAGAAAGGAAAAAAAAAGAAAAAAAAAGAAAAGATGAAATTGTAGAGTCAAATAAAATTAAATTAACAAAATCCAAAGAAAAAAGCAAAGAAAAAGCCCAAATCTTAGAGAACCTGCAGAGGGGCTGCACGGAGGGGCAGGGGAAAAAGATGGAAGTACTGGAAAGGCTACTTTGACCGAGTGATGGGACAAAAATAACCCGCTTTGCTGCAGTAATTATGCACGTCTTGGTCAATAGGATCTCACAGAAGGGGTTTCGTACTGCCGAGCTTGTGAGTGGGCAGATTTTCGACATATTATGAGTGACACGCCAACTTAACTCCTCAATCACCCAATCTTTCATGGGCTTTGACTTCTAAAAGATTGATTTGACTTTGACTTGACTCTATAATTGAACTGTGATCTTGACTTATCACAAAAGGCCGCGTCTGGACAGTGCGGGGATTTTCTCTTGGAATTTGAATCTGGTCTATCGCGTGGAAGAATCCATGGTTCATTGGTCCTCGGCCCCCCTGTCACTTCAATACATTCCCCGCCACGGCGCTTGCAGTGCTTTATTTAGAGTTGGACAGGGCCCGAGTGTATGGATTATCCAACATCTCGCTCCCCATTCTTGAAAAGGAACTAGGGTTCTTCGAGATAGTGAATTGCTACTCCATACATAGTCCTAGAGGCATCCTCCTAGAATCCCTGGGGCCAATGCTCTCTCCACAAGGCTATATATACACTTCACGACCTTTCCCTTTCCGTTTTAGTGCTCACCCTCGACGTTCGACCTCCGGTGTACTATGGTTCAGTTTGAGGTGTTACACAAGCAAACTGAATATCCCCCATCCTGCTTGTATTGAAGTGGACGACTTGGTATCTTGGTCTGAACGTGTGTTGGGCTTGTGATTATCTTCTCGCCAAGTCCTAGTCGGTGGTGTATATCCGGGTAAGAACGGCCGATGGCCCAACATAGCACCACCGAGTCGGCCCACATCAACACCTCAACAGTAAGTAACTGTTCCAGGTCAATTGAAGTTCATGGACTTTCCTCTAACTTCAACATCAATACAATATACCTGCAGTTATAGTCTATACTAGCCGAAGGTCCCGAGGTAATCTGAGTGTTCAATTCCCATGGTTCACTATAGAACCGGCCCGATCCGCTCACCAGACATTCTAAAGTTGATACCTACAAACAATGGACAGGATACCATTCTTATGCGCATACGAACCGTACAGCGCAATGGTAGACATATTGATTGATGGGTGAAACGTGACAATCTAGATATTGTTAATTTCTCAACGGCTCTCAGGCCTGCACTGGCGGAGCCTGGCCAAACACTGAGAAGGACATCGACATCGTGCTGCATTTCAAATCCACCAGAAGACTGGCAAGTATTCTTCAATCTCGACGGCTCAGTGCCGTACCTAAAGAGATCAGCACATTCTAGACCCTGATATAACCGTGAATCATAGGCCAGAATCTCTCCGGAGTCCGCCACCAACGTGCGGGGCCTGCAAGACGGCACAGCTGCAATACGCACAGAAAATATCACATCATGTGAGATCATTGAGAACTCGGTGGGTGTAGATCCTCAGGCTCTCTTGGTTATTTTGCGGGGCATAGACCGCTGATTGATGGACCAGTCTATTATTAGGTAGATAAGCAGCTGCAGAATGTGTAACTGGGGCGGTTTAAAATGAGGAGATGGCGATCCTTTTATCTTCTTAGATATCCTGTTGAGTAATTACGCGTGAGAGCCAATGAGCACGTGGAAGGTATCTATATGTACAAAAATAGACACGAAGGAATACGGTGAGTTGAGAGTTAGAGGACCAAGTCACGGATGGTCGTTGTGTGCTACGATCTAGGGATGCTTCCTAGAGCGTCATATCAATCATCATTGGTCATAATCGACTCTCTTTTGCTCAGTGGTCCACCATCCTGCACTCACTTTTATATTTAGTAACTGAAATCTCCGCTTTGCTTCTCATTAGCTTTACAGACCATTTCCAACAGGAACGCGTCAAACCGCTTTGAATTAGCTTTGTGTTGCTCGAGCACCTCATGTGCTGCATGTAATTGCTAGATGCTCTCTATACTTGGCTGAACTATCGGGTGTTGGGCCTTCGATTATTGAACTATGATGCCATTGGCTTAATGCACTAGCCGTGCATCCAACTTCTAGCTACGGAGTACTCAGCCAACTAATTGTGACATTGATACGTAAACCAACAAGTTTGACCTCTTTTGCCTGGCTCGGGGAATTCCATAGTTGGTAAGCCTAATGCTTGGAGCTAAGCCCGATATGTTCTACCTACATACGCATCCATGGATGTAGGTAGGGCTGTTGGACCCACTTGCACATCGCCGATTGAACCACTTGCATCATGTGTGTACCTTGCGTTGCAATTCTTTTTGCGTGTTAATTGAGTCCAACCGATTAAGCCTGCCCAGAGAGACTATAGTAGCCGTCTAGTCATCTCCTATGCCTACTTGGAACTCAATAAAGGTGGCGTGCAGCATCTTGGCTGTTTGTCCAGATTGTCGTTGAATGGACGCCTCAATTTGTAGGAATATCTCGTGCGTTTGCGGTGGACGACCCGTATATTGCGCATGGTCATTCATCAGAGTTGCATTTCTCGTCACAGTCCGTGCGAGAAAGAAGGAAATAATTGCAGATACGCCTGCAGGGATATCACTCGACGTCCGTTTATACATGTGTTTCAGCTACCTCCAATAATCTTCATGCCGACCCCTTTCGCGACGAGAGGACGTTCTGAGTTAAGTTTTGATAAATATTTTAAACAGCATGGGCTGTACCAAGCTTCTGCATAACTGACATCTTTGCTTGTCTTCGTGTGCTAATCTAATTAAGCAAAATAAGCAAGTATAACACCGATCGACAGCATGCGAGCACATGTAGACACGGGAAGCATAGTTACCTTTCATGAGAAAAGCAAGGATAAAAAATCTATTTATATCAGGAATTGACTAGTTCATGCCGGTGACAGGGATTGTGGATGTAATCTCCACGTGGAATACTGAGTAGTGGTTGGTGATAGTGTACCCCACCCCGGCGCTTAAGAGCTTTTTTTGGATCATGGAAGGTTTTCGAAATAACAGGGAAACTCCGTAACGGGCTTGAGAGGGAATTACACAGCGCTAACTACATTACTCCGTGCATATCAAACAAATCCAGGTACGTCGAGCAAAATAAAATAGGTAAATTCCAAAATTCGGCCGGGAATATTCCCGGCCGAGGTTGATTATTCAACGCTGAAGATGACTATAGAAACCGAGACATATAGGGGAATAGTATATTTACAGCTTAGCAACCATCTTGTTGCCCTTTTGGAGCAGGATAGCGGCATCTCCAACGAGCTCATCAACGATAGCCTTGGCAGACTTCTTCTCGTTGACAACGGCGGCAACCTTGCCCATCAGGAAGGGGCGGGCATTGTCCAGAGTTTCATCGTCGACATCATCGGGCAAGTTCTCCATATCGTGCTCGACGGGAATAATACCCTTGGAGGTGAGCTGCTTAATCTCCTCGTGGCGGTTCTCCTCCCAGTTAACGATGTAGGGGTTCTTGCGGACACGGAGGGGACGACCCTATATCGTTTGTTAGCAACCTGAACATCTCGTTAAAAGCATAGCCAGGGGATACATACAGTGAAGATAATAGTACGGATGTTATCCTCAAAGTTGGAGGTACGGACAGCCTCTTGGTGAGCGGCGGGGGCACCAGCCTCGTCAGACAGGATGAAGCGGGTACCGATCCAGACAGCGGAGGCGCCGAGCATAAGAGCAGCAGCAACGGAGCTACCGTTGAACAGACCACCGGCAGCGATGACCTGCACGGGCTGGCCGGTCAGAGGGCTCTTCTTGCCCTCGACCAACTTGGCAACAGTGGGGATGAGGATGGTAGTGGGGACATCACCAGTGTGACCACCGCCCTCACCACCCTGAGCGCAGATGATATCAACGCCAACATCAAGGGCCTTCTGGACGTGCTTGGGGTGACCGATCATGTTCATGCACAGGATGCCGGCACCGTGCAGCTTCTCGACAACAGCCTTGGGGGGAACACCGACGGCGGAAACGAAGAGGCTAGCCTTTTCTTGGATGATAATATCGACGAGCTCACCGAGCTTGCCCTTGGTGTAGTCGTAGCTATTTGCCGAAACAAAACGGGATTAGCACGTGTCAACGATGGAAAAAGTGCCGCAGCGATCGAAAGTTCTTACTTGGTCTTGCGGGCACTGCCGCCAACCTGGGGGAGGAGAAGGTCGACACCGAAGGGAGCGTTCTTGTCATTCAGATAGCTCTTGAGTTCGGCGACTTGTTCGCGCAGCATCTCGGGGGTGTAGCCAACGCCACCGATCACACCGAGACCACCAGCGTTGGTGACAGCGGCGGCCAGCTTGGGCCCCGCAGCCACGTTCATGCCTGCCAGCAGGACGGGGTGGTTGATCTTGAGCAGATCAGTGATCGGGGTGCGGATTTGTTCTGTTCAGCAGTTATGGTTAACATCGATGTTGTGGCGATGGGGCCCATGTGGAGCCATCGTCATATAGGAGATCACATGGAAATAATGGGCAGGGTAAATAAACATAGAGGATATAAGTCACTTACGAGGAGACGCCATTTTGAAGATATGTGGAGTGAAGGTGATGGAAAAAGAAAACCTGGGGAAGAGGAGGTACGGATGGGGTGTAACCGACCTATAAAGCAAAGCAACCTCGGTGGTTCACAGACTCGCGATGAGCCTCGGTCCCCCCGACTTGACCGAGAGATTAGTCACGACCCGCACTGTAGCGGGGTTCGAGGTCGACACCTAAGGCAGAAATCTTCACGTGTCTATCCAAGATGCAGATTCCGCTTACTACCGGGGTTACCCTGTCCTCCGCATCGGCCATTATTTTTTCTTGTACGAGGAAAAACCCCTTAATTCACCGGTCCTTGGGATCAAAAGGTCACTTCTCGCAGCTAAATCTACATCTCACAGTGTTGAGTTTCAGAAGCACAAGATTTACAAGCATATATCACAAATTGAGCAGGACTGATGCTATTGAACGAAAGGAAGAAACCAGGTCAGACTCGGCGCAAACCATCTACCGAAAACGGTGATATTTGGCTGGATCACCGGTCCACCAGCCTAATATGCAAGCATCATACCACGTTTGCCAATGTACCTTTGACTAGCTTAGAATTTCCGTTTCTTAATCCTGAAGGGCACGGCAAAACACGATGTGTTCTTTACGGAAATTTTCATATGCCCCAAGAGGATGGATGTGGACGAATTACTCATTTCAAGTCCCAATTGAGCCTGTCTATTCTATAGATTGACTGGAATAAAGGGGTAAAGCACCCCTCATGGTGAAATTAACCGCAGTGTGCATGATAACTTCAGAAATAGACAAAAAAGGATGTGGCTATATTATGCTTGTGTCCGTCAACACCTGGTGGTGGAGCGAAAGCAAGAAAGACTATGGATTGAAATATCTGTTGCTGGAGAGAGGGAGAGAGGAGTGAGAAGTATCAGTCTTGTAGTAAAGAGGAGCAAGGCCCTAGTATATACTTAAGACAGAGCCTCAACAATAACTCACCTCAAGAGCTTCATCAGTCCCATGATTTCAACAAAATCCAAATTCCCCATCATTTACACAAACTCCCAGTAGGTTAATACCAATAACAAGAAACCCGTTGAGACGTGCAGGGCGAATCGGGTGAACATCAAATTACACCTACTCCTAGATAGTCGGGATATGTTCTTTTTAAACACATTCTTGTATTGTGCTAGTGATGCTTGATAAGCTCACTGCTAGTATATATCCACTTCTGCAGAAGTTTATATACATTTCCAAGAGTGTATAAACGCACCCAAGGAGGCAGTAAAATTCTGCAAATGATAAAGAAAAAAGACAAAAACAAAAACAAAAATCCATCGGTCCTGCCGGTTTTAAGAAAAGAAAAAAACGAGGATTTATCCCAGAGTCAGAGTGAAACCGGCGCTCAGGGAGCAAGAGTAGGTGTTCACGTCATCTGGGAGCTGGTAAGCATCCTTGCAGTCCGCATCGCCAGCGGCACACGAGACAGTCTTGCAGCTCGAGTCACTGGGGACAACGGTGAAGCCCGACTTGACAAACTCGGAAGTAGAGTCAAGATCGATGGAGGACATGTCCCAGTAAAGGGTGTCACCATCCTGGGTGTACTCGAACTGAAGGACGCTCTCCTCGCTCTCGCTGGTGGACATCTTGATGGAGATACCGCCACCATCGGAGTTGGTGGTCCAGCCTTCGCTGTAGTCACCTCCGGTGCTGATGGTCTGCATAGTGCCAGCCTCAGATGAGGTGGTCCACAGGTAGACGTTGGTACCCATGTTGTTGACGATCTGAAGACTGCCGCTGCTGGAATCGCGGGTCTCAACGGCGCCGGATTCCCCGGATCGAGCGGAGTGGGGGAGGGCAGCAGCGGTGGCAGCGAGAAGGCCGGTAAGGAAGACGTTGAAAGTCATGATGGAAGATTGTAAATTGAAAGAGTGAAAGTGGTAGGGGAAAATAGTTCACCTGGTTTACAGAGATACTAAAGTGACAGTGGTGGAGGATCAACCTCGAATGAATGACTGACTTCAAGAAAAAGAGTGACTTGAAGATCAAAGAATGTGTTTGAAGAAAGAAAGAAAAAGGATGCCATATCTGCGGATGTCCATCTTTTTATTGCGCCTGGTGGAGTCGTCCGGATGAGGATGAAACTTTGTGAGAGGACCAAAAAGATTCGAAGGATGTGGATAAACTACAATTATACATGTGGGTTCAGTCAATAAGGTTGGCTTCCGAGATCAACCAACCAATTAGAACATGCGGCTGAGGTTTCCACAAACGGTCTCGAACGCTTCGTCATCTTGAACACTTCGTCATCAGCTTGCGAGTGGAACTCGCGTTTCCAGAATTTCGATTCTTACACTTCAGATCGATCCAATCATTCAACGAATTTGGTTCGCAAATAGGACACCCCAGTCTCCATCCGAAACACCTCTGAGAGCCAAAAAAAAACGGATACCTTGACATCAGTTCTTCATGGCTTCCAAGATTGTCCACCGTGGTCCGCAGCTGCCCGGTATCTTGACAGACTCGCATTTTACGTCAGTCTCCTGTGGCAACCTTTCAGCTCGGCATATTCCATCCATCTAGATAAACCACCACCAAAGCAGCCGATTATTAAAAAGTTGATGATATGACCTCTGAATGCTATCCACCACCCAAGAGCTCAAACAATTCCTCAGTAAGATACGGATTTTAACAGTTTGAAGTCCAGCACTCAGGCATTTTGTTCAGCATCCTATATTCTATGTTATCCATTCAAGACTCCAAGTCGGTTCCTATAATCCACCGACTCAGCCACACTGTTTGCCACGATATTCTGTGGGGCTGTTCATTTTGACAGTGAAGGGTCTTGTTCAATAATATCAAAAGAGCGAGCAGTTGCGGAGTACGTTGCCTCCTTCGGCCAAGCTCGGGTATGTCGGATGATATGTCAAAGTCAAAGTTTCTCGCCTTTCCTGCCTTTTATGGTTATGCCCCTCGCAGGGTGTACCTATGGCTAAATCCACCAGAACCAGAAATATTCGCTAGGCTGTGTTAAATGGGGAAAAAAGAAAGAAAAGAAAGAAAAAGAAAATCAAATTCTCTTCAAGAGCACTTAATAACAGGAAACACATATACAGAATAAAAGTCCTTGTAATAAAATCTGCACCTTTCTAGCTTCTTACTAAGCCTCGCCTTGAATCCCTTCAACATTTGCCTCAAGGTCCTCCTGTGCAATCATTTGACTTGGCTTAAAAGCTGTGGCAAAGATCTTCTCAAATTCATCATCTGAAAGAAGGCGCACTCCAACAAGGTCATTATCCAAGTTCTTGAACTCAGCTTCAAACTTGCCACCCAAGAGCGCAGCTTTCAGTAGCGCAAGTGTTTTGAAGAGGTCCAGGTCGCTTTGCTTGGTATTTTCGAGAATTGTCCCAAGCTCAGCCGCTGCGTCCACTGGATTCTCAACCCATTTGAGATCAGGCCCCGAGTACTTCTTTGCCAGATTCAAAACTTTGTTTTGAGTCAGCACTATGTCGTGAACGCTGACCAAGCGGTTTTTGGTCTCTGCGGCATTCTTCAAAGCACCAGCAACGGCTTTCGCAACACTCGACACACTAGTTGAGCTGAAAGTATGTTCGCCATTGTCATAAAGTGGAGCAGTCTGAGTCTGAAGGTCGGTCAAAAATGGCATCGACATGACAAATTCTAGGAAGGGCCCAACAGCAAAGAGTGTGTACTCGATCTGTCCGCTTAGTGCCTTTTCTTTGAGGTACTTCTGGATGTCTATCCATAATGCGTTCAGTGGAAGTGACTCTGCTCCAGGTCTGGTCGTAAGCGCCCCGAAATCGGAAGGAATGAAGCGTCGGACACCAGCCTGAATGCTGGCGTCGATGACCGTCTTCTGTGCGCTAATACCGGATGAACCGACGGTGGAAACCACGGCATCCTGACCCTGGAGAGCAGCTACAAGACTGTCGATGGACGAATAATCGACTTGCACAGTCTTGACGCTGGAAGGGGGTTCATCTACAGAGCGAGCTGTGCGACTCAGCACGGTGACTTGAAAGCCACTATTCACGAGCTGCTCCAAGATTGCAGATCCCAGCCATCCTTTCTGTTGACCGCACATTAGTATAACAAACACAACCATTTTATTGTTGATGAACTAACCCCCAATAGTGCGACGTTCCGGATAGGTTTCATTTTAGATGGAAGTGATATTTGAAAGGGAAGTGTATAGAGAGGAATTTAAAAATGATGGAAACAAGGTACTGTAGGAATCGAATGAGAAATAGATAATAATAACGAAGACAAGTTAGTCTCTCCTCCTTTTATACTTAGAAATGTGACTCAACATATGGCCCTACGTATGGTCATTGACATTATCTGCATTAGGCAATTCATTCATAGCATAGCAAATAATTTGATCACACCGTCAGCTCTATTCCCAATTAGACAAGCCAGTCGTGGTATAGTGTCTTCCAATCCCACTTCTATGCAAATCACCATTGATGTTAGCGCTATTCCCATTTGGGTAAGTCAGTCGTGGATTAGCGCAGTCTTTACAACCAATGAGGGGTCGTTTAACGAAGTCTTACTCCACCCTCGCCTGGATTATCTAGCTCTGGAGGACAACTCAAGACTCACAATATATCTGACCCTATCTTTACTGCCTCAATAGCCACACTAAAAATACACCGTGGGTCATTTTGTTAGCTGCAAAGAAACAAAGTTTGGTGCTCAAGCGGCAGTGCAGCTCCCATTGCAACGTCCTTTGACTGAATTATTTCGGAAACTCACTTTGCCACCATCCATGGCATCCACCAGAGCTAGCCCGGCTTGTGGGAACTGCAGGTCTAGGAGAATCAAGGTTTGATTCACAAAAATTATCTACACCCTTGTTCCTACTAACAACTCGACAGTGCAATCTCCTCCGGCCAAGATGTAGTCAGTGCGCTCGAGCCGGTCTAGCCTGCACTGGTTATAGGTCTCAGTCAGATCTACTTTTTCGAGACCAGACCAAGTCCACAATTAAAAAGTTGCATTCTTCAAGTACCGGGTTGACTACGGCTAACAAGTACGCTACTTGTCGGAGCCTATTCGCAACACAACCCACTTTCAATATCGAAGAACTTGCACAAAAAGTATTTTCTGACAACTTTACCATCTTGGGGGATGGATGCAAGCATTGGATGGATTCCCGTGCGGAGAACCCATCTTCTGCTACTATCAGCCTTACCTCTGTTGGTCTCGCTGCACTCGCCGTTGTCCACAAAGACCCCAATATGATGAATCTGGCGCGAAAAAAATATAATTTTGCTATAAGAGTCCTCACTAAAGCGATTATCGGCCCTCAGCCCTCTGGAATTGAACAATCTATCGCTGGAAGTTTTATTTTGTCTATCTTTGAGGTTCTGTGCTCTGATGTCCCACTAATATAAATTTCACCACAAGACTGACGGATAGTTGATGTTTCAGATGATAACATGCGATAACCCCTCCTCTTCGCATGCCTGGCAAAATCATGTCCACGGCGCTGCTGCATTCTTGGGCTATTTATGTTCTACCAATGGTTTGCCAATTTCACCGGTGAAAGAAGTTATAGAGATCTGCTACACCACAGTACGTTGATATGCCATTAGAGAGCAAGAAATTGCTGAGTACTAATACGTTCAAGGCACTTGCGTGCCTCATCAGTGGCAAAACGGTCCCATACCTTTTATTAGAATTGCCAGGTCGCTTTGGAGCGTCATCAAATGCCGCACTAGACAACGAAGATCCCTTGTTATCAGCAATGAGACTATTTGCTATCATGGGTACCCTGGTGAATATTCGTGGATTGGCGAACCAGAGCCTTTTTCTACCCAGCCAGCTAGTTGCACTGGCCATAGAAAGTGATCAAGCCCTCCAAAACTGGGAAACTTCACTTCCTGCGTCGTGGGCCTATCACAAGCTTTCTAAAGGGCCACAATACATTTATCGGGATGTTTGGTATGCTCGAATGTGGAACTACTATCGTCTAGCCCGCATTCTAGCGAACAGGATAGTCATTGACAATTTCGATATCCTGTCACCCGAAGGGTTGCCAGGTAATGATTTCATATTAACACATGACCAGCCATATACCGCCATTTCACTCCTGCTGCAGGAGATCTACATCAGTTTGCCTTTCATGTTCGACTCGGAACAAATGCCTCCTACTTCTATACCGCTCTCGGCGGCCCTTTTCTTCACCACCACTTTATTACAATCTCTACTAGGAATCACAGATAGAGATGCTGTCATCCAGGACTGGTCATCTCCAGCATGTGAGGTCCTAGGAGAGAGCTTTACGTTTACGAAAGGAATCGTGATGCAGAATCTTCTTTAGACGAATATTATTCATTAATGTCTCAAGTCTTTGCACACCACACTTGATCAGTGTTAAGAGTTAAATCAGTAAAACAGACCTACAAATCAAACTTTCATATGGAACTGCTGCCCTTGACCCTGCCCTGGCTATTGAGCTTTGTCTATAACCAGTTGCCCGAATACTTTCGAATCGGCAGTAAAACCTGCCATATCCTTGGTTATGGAGGCTGATGATGGATTTGGCTACATAAACGAGGATTCTAGCCGAAGATTCCTACACTCTGCGATGTGCAAGCAGAATATTATACAATTGAGCGAGCGCCTCAGTTATCATCCCGATCCTTCTTCTTCGTAACCTCGTCCTTCTCATCCGTCTCGTCCTCCCCCAAACCACCAGGCCCACAAGGGAACCACTCATGAGCAGTATCCAGGCATTTCACTTTGACTCCCACGCACTCTAAGCAAATGTTGAAATTGTTGCAACCTTCACATCGGCGATATGAAGTATCAATCAGGATAGGCCGAGTGCACGCATCGCAAATCCGCCCCAGGTCCAAATTGACCAAATACCATAGCTTGT